ATAGAGTTGGGTTGGGCTTTCAGTGCGCACACTGATTCAACTAAGTAAACAGTTGAATCGGGCGTGGGTGCGCAGACCGTCGATTTAAAATCGGGCCGATTGCTTCATTCGATAGAAAGCTGTTGAAGAGATCAGTCGCGTGGAATGTTTCCCAGAAATATTATATTTTTTTTATACTTAACTAACTCATGCCTGCGGCTTCACCTGCATGAAATTCAGTTTGATACAACAAAGAATATAAGTTTAATAAAAATCAGCCCAAATTTCTAATTTTTTTTCAATATTAGTAGGACATGAAAGGGAAATTATCATGAAAAAGTGAAATCGAGAGTAATAACTACTTAAATCAATTAATTAGTAATAAATTAGTTGGGTAATCTTTTATAATGACGACCTTTCCCGCCAAAAACGCGGAGCAAACTGAAGCTATCGGCCGAGTTGGACGACGAAAAATCAACGGTGTGCGCGCGCGTAGAGGAGCGCCGTACTGATCAAGCTATCGACCGATAGTTGAACGATACTTTAGTTGGAAGGCAGTTGGGAATCGCATTCAACTATTTAGTCGGGCAAATTGAATCGGCGTAGTGTGCGCACTCCCATACATGCCCATACTGATCAACTGTCTAACTAAACTATCGGCCGACGAAAAATCAACGGTGTGCGCCTACTCTTAGCGGGATCTGGGGGCCCCTTGTAACCCCGGGGCCCTGGGCTGCAGCCCAATCAGCCCATAGGTAGATCCGGCCCTGATTCCATGGACTTCATGTTAAAAAAAACGATTCCTAAAAAGTACTGGTTGTATTTCTTTAAATTAAAAACTATTAATTTATTTTCAATGCGTTTATTAAAGTCAACAATCGAAAAATATAGTTGATTTTTGTGATATTTTTAATAACTAAGTATTCACAACAACCGATTAATGAACCACGGAAATAATCGATTTTGTTAGACAATAAATACCCCAGCACTAAATCTATTCCGTTTCACACATTGCGGACATTAAATAAAAAATATTTTTACATCGTATTTAATTAAAATATAATCAATAGACTCAGATTTTACTATATATTTCAAGACAAGTAGTTAACTTTTTTTTATTATATTGCTAATAAAATACAAATATTTTTTCAAGAATATTCTGCGTATGTAGTATGCGTAATATGGATAACTTTGAAGTGTCATACGGATCATCTTAGGTGAAAAAGACTATAATAATACAATGCAAATAAAACATACTTTAACGACCTGGTTTTTCTTGTGTTGGCAAATAACTGAAAAAGAAGTGAAAAAAATCATGTCTTTTTCTAGTCCAATCCATTCTTACTTCCATAAAATGTATGAAACTTGTGTCCGTTTTCTACTTCTGCTAATATATAATTTTATTGACTATCGCATGATATCAAATATTCGCTTATTAATGTTAAGTTACCCACGTTTTCACTTGTTTTTGAAGGAAGAGGTGAAAACTAAAAATTAAAAACTTAAATCTTCGTAATTTTGCGACAAATGGGTCAACCCCCAAATTTGAAGTATTTTCATCGATAAAATTGTCCATAAATTACGCCATTAAAGTTTGATCACTACAAGCCCGGACACACTGTATTGGCCGTAGTGGAAACTTAACTATCTAACATCATTTGGTTCTGGCAATGATAATGAGGATATAGGAGAATTCGTCAATTATTAGTTTATCAAAGATTTTAGAGTGAGGCCACGTGGCAGAAAGCGCAGCGTGGGGCGCCCTCCTACAAGGTGGACTGACGACCTAATAAAGGTAGCGGGAAGGTGCTGGACGCAGGCCGCCACCAACCGGTCAATATGGAAATCATTGGGGGAGGCCTATGTTCAGCAGTGGACGTCCTGTGGCTAAAATGATGATGATGATAAGATTATTAAATGATTTGAGTCTCACGTTTCTTTCTGAAGCTCCCTAAGCGCCTCCAGTTCTGACCTCATCGACGTCACTTGTTTGTCCAGTCGTGCTACTTCTCTCACTGAAAAATAAAAATTCCCTTGAATACTGAATAATAGGCCGAATAAACTATCAGCCGACACAAAATCCGTAGTCTGTAGAGAGTATAAAGCCCGGTCTGTGAGCACGTAGAATTTTGTCCAATGACCCCAAGCTACCCATCCTTATCGCTCGCGCCTTATTATATTGCTGTCGCGACTGTGCGACGGGCACTCGTAGTGAGTGTGCGAGCGCGACAGCAACATAATTACGCGCGAGCGATAAGGATGGGTCCAAGCTACCCATCCTTATCGCTCGCGCGTAATTATGTTGCTAAAATTCATTGGACAAGACTATAGATGTTCTAATGTCCACACACTAGAGACAAATGTCCACACACAAGAGACAAGACAAGTCACCTATCTTCCTCTTTTTGTTTTAATCTAAGTTTCTCACTGTAACGTCAGGGACTCCACAGGTGTTTTCAATGGCGCCAGTTAAAGATAAATAATGCAACAAAGTATGGCTTCCAAAGAATTAAATCATAAACAGTCAACATAAATAAATAAACAGTCAGTAATAACTCATATTATCTGACTTCCTATTTTCATTAGTCAGAAATAGCAAATACCTAACTTAAAAAACAGATTTCACGGCTGAGTGACCAAGGAATGCAATTTATGTGGAAATATCTAAATATATAAAAGGAGAAACTGACTGACTGACTGACAGATCAACGCACAGCCTAAACGGCTAAACGTAGGCACTTGAAATTTGGAAGGGACGTAGCTTAGGTACCGTAGAGGTGCACTAAGAAAGGAATTCCCGAAATTCCCACGGGAACGGGAATTAGCGGGAAAAACAGGATTCACGCGTACGAAGTCGCGGGCGGCCGCTAGTTGAATATAAATAATAATAATGCACTTTTAGAACATACAGTTTTGTTAAGGAATGTCTGTCTTGAAAGAATTTCTTTGAACTCAGTCATTTAATTTTGTATGTAGTGCAAAATAAAATGAAGAAATTGTCGATTGCAGCTTGTTCTATGAAAACCAATACAAATTAATGTAGTTGGCTTACGTTAGGTATAATATTAATTTTCAAACTAAATGGACTTTGTAGCTACAATGTATATTAATGTATATTCTATTCAGAAAAAGAAATTATTAACATGACAATAGGAATAATAATATATGTAATTAACATTTATAAACCTAATAACAGTACTAGTTTATTGTAAACATGAGCAATGTCATTAGATATTGTTTATTATGTAATCTAATACATAATACAAGATGCAAACTATTCTATGTATGTATTTAGAAATAGGATAGTTTTCCAAACATCTTAACTGGTTAAATTTAGTATTAGACATGGTTATTTAACATTGAATAAGAGAAGAATTNTGCAATACCTCCTAGGTCACTAAGTCTTAAGCCCATGTGTATGTAATTTCCACCATTACAAAAATTGTCACTTAGTACGCAATAAAGATTTGAATTTGAATTTGAATTTGAATTTGAAGTTCCAGGTTTTCTTTGAAATAAATGTTTTAAGTAGTTTTAGTAGCTTATCTCGCCGCACCACTTGGGAAAACTTTATTATTAAAGTTGACTATACTCTTCATTTCTTAATGATACGAGTTCAGTTTAACTAAGTTTTAACTAAGCAGTATTTTTAAGCTTTTGAATACCATACAAATTAACACCTTTTGACGCGTCGCAAACAGAAGTGTTCTAGTGAACAAGTTCTGAATTATATTATGTCATTGCAGCAAAAAAGATTTTGATTTGGTATGGATTTGGTCTTTTGTAGGTTTTGTATGTAGTTGTTTATCTCGTCAGTAGACTTCAGTTTATTGGGTAACATTTTGAATTTTCCTCGGCCAGTTTTAGGTTTCTTAATTTTTATGGAACATCTGACAATCCTGTGGTCAGACGGGAAATTTATTTGGTTTAGAACCTTAGTNATACGTTCCGATATGCCAATAAATTCATCGATGTGTGTGCTTAATTCTTTTTTGACCAAGAATCCTGTTCCGGATTGTCCAGGTGTATCTCCTTTGTAGGTGAAAATGAAGTCTCCATGATCTTCTATGCTTTCGCCTAGGCGTCGAACTTCGGATAGTCCAATTATTGACCAGTTTATTCTTTCCAATGCCAATATCAACTCTGACAAGCTTTCTGTGCTTTTTAGTGTAAGCGTATTAAAGGTAGCAATATGTAGTATGTTGTTTTTTTGTTGGCGATTTGTTGTCTGAAACACTTGTGTTTGCTTCTGAGGTAAATATTTCGGAGGGTATCGGTCTTCTTCCCCCACGGTGACCAGCCGGCTTGGGGTGCTGATTGTTTTTATTTTATTTTGTTGTGTTGTTTGATTTGTCTTATCCGGTTTCCAGTTGTGGGAGGCAGTTTTTAGTTTTTTGTAGTTTTTGGCTCAGACACCGATGATGCTCTACCTCGTGCCACATAATTAAGTATGCTTGGTTTTACTAATCCTTGAGTATTGTGTGTAGGTGGCTCATCCACATGTTTATCGGTAATCTGTTTCTTCCTGGTGCTTGTTGAAGGTGTTTCAGGTGATTCTACTTTTTCTCTTTTCCTTTTTTCTCGGTTAGAATCTTTTGGGGCTTTTACTACTAACTTATCGTATTTCAGATATGCTAAATTTCCCTTCTTTCACCATTGTAATTACTTGTTTTAAATAATTTTTAAGCATTGTTGTAGGTTAAGTGTATTGTCGATGATACTGAATAAACATTTCTTCTTTCTTTCTTAACTAAAGTTTATTTGACGAAGGATCGGTACGGTGACATAGTAAAATTACTAAATGCTAAAGTCCACAGCGCGTAACGTACTAAACGCGCATTCGTATCGTATGTAAGCCGCAAGCAGGCATACACTTGCATACGCTACGCTGTTGTGGATATATTGACGCTTATGTGGCATTACAGTGTGAAGTGAATGGGTGAGGATGAATAGCTGTCAACAACAAGATGGTTTCTTTTAATCCTCACTGCAAATACTTTATACAAAGCATGATAGCTTACCATCTTCAGGCGGCTGCTTATTCCTATCCACCTTCCTGATGTCATCGAGCGTGACGTCATCCTTCGAGAACAGTCCTCCGTGCATGACCATAACCCGTCCGTTGATGCAGTGAGCTAGAGGCAGCCAGTTGTATACCTCCGTGAATAGATCAGCCATCTGGGAGTTGTACTTGGATGACGCTTCACCTTGGAAACCGTACATGCGGTTCATGTCCCGGGTTTCGTGGTTGCCTGGAATTTTATACCACTTATTATTATACTTAAACTACAAACATTAAACAAAAACTAAAAAAAATCTGGCACTATTGACATGTTACCAGAGTTTGACCACTTTTAGTTTATTTATTTACCCCCTTAGGGATTGAATTTTGGAAAATCCCTTCTTAGTGAGAACCTACGCACTTGTAGTTTCTGAAATTTCGTGATGAGTGAGTCAGTCAATCAGTGACCTTTCGCTTTTATAGATATAGATTTACTTTTAAATGCAAGTGAGCTTACAGATAGATCTAAAGCGCTCCAAGTCCAACTCCAAGGCACATGAATAATTTTACCTTTTGTAGCATAAGATTAGCCTAGAGTTTAAACGTCAAATAAGTTATTGAATAAAGAATTTATGTATTATTTATTTATTTATTATTTAGAAGTTGCGACGCTATGTTGTGGTTATAGTACGTGTGAATCAAGCCTTAGCTACTAATACAATGGAATTTTTTATAGATAAAAATCATTGACAAACAATGACATGGCACTACAATTAGTCCAGTCAATGAATGCCTTAACGACGGTGTAGAGAGAAATCCGTGGAACACAATTTCTGACCTCGGGACTTTATTTAGCCTAGTTAGGTGGTGAACATAGCAAAAGTCCCCGCCCTTATTAGCCCTTGAGCCGGCGGGGAGAGGGGGATTTAAAGGTACCACTTTTCGGTTTTTCGCTTAATCCTCGGAAACTATGCGTCATAGTGACATGACTACTATGAACCAAAAAAAGCTTATTCAATTGGCTACAGGTGAGACCGTCAAGTTTTTATATATCTTGTATAGTTTTTGCGGCATCTGCTCTAGAAGGTCTGTAAAATTGGAAATTTTATTGTTGTCTTACATGTTCCTTTCAGGAGAAAATCGACTAAATCAACATTGAGCAAACTCTAAAGACATGCGGGAGCATGTTAAGCCTAGTTCCAGGTAGGGGACTGCACCGTGCGTATATTTAGACGAACCAATTAGAGCCACTTTTGACTCCTCATCATTCAAAAACTGCTGTGCATTAACACTTCAAATTTGGCTCATGTATTGAGACTTGCAAGATATACATCAGCTTCAAATTTCATAAATATACCTCAAACGGTTATTTCGGTATTGACGTTCAAAAATCGATATTTAGAGCACTAAAATCTATCTATTACATGTGAAATGTAAAAATTCACTGGTTTTTTATTTGTTCCTATGTATTTACATAACTACCTTTCTGGATGCCAAATTTGAACCTTCGAGGTCATCTGGAAGTGGTTAGAATTTGGTCTATAGGTCAGACATGTAGATTTTTGGACGTCAATATCTAAAGAACCGTTTGAGGCATATTTATAAAATTTGAAACTGATGTATATCTTGCAAGTCTCAACACATGAGCCAAATTTCAAGTGTTAATGCACAGTAGTTTTTAAGTGATGAGGAGTCAAAAGTGGCTTAAAGTGGTTCGTCTAAATATACGCACGGTGCAGTCCCCTCCCGGGAACTAGGCTTAACATGCTCCCGCATGTCTAGAATGATTGCTTAATGTTGATTTAGTCGATTTTCTCCTGATGGAAACATGTAAGACAAAAATATAATTTCCAATATTACAGACCTTCTAGAGCAGATGCCGCGAAAACTATACAATTTATAGAAAAACTTGTCTATCTCACCTGTAGCAAATTGAATATGCTTTTTTTGGTTCAAAGTAGTCATGTCACTAGGACGCATAGTTTCCGAGGATTAAGCGAAAAACCGAAAAGTGGCACCTTCAAACCCCCCTCTCCCCGCCGGCTCAAGGGCTAAGGGCGGGGACTTTTGCTATGTTCACCTCCTAACTAGTCTTAATTAAGTCTCGAAGTCGGAAATTGTGTTCTACAGTTTTCCATCTATAATGCTTTATTGACTGGACTAAATTTATTATATCAAAATGAGAACCGAGTGGCAAACTGAAAACATAGTAAATGGCTGAGTGAATATACATGTCAAAAGTATACTATAGCAATACTTATTAGTGAAAAGGGTGGACAAGCGTTTCTTATTAAATTAACTGTGCGTATAAAGCACTTGTAGAATTAATCGTTATTGATAAGCTAAGTACTTGTACTGAGTACTTTATTAACTTTTCTTACCTCTTGACATATAGAAGTGGTTAGGGTACAGCAGTTTAAAACTGAACAGCACAAAAATACATTCCACACTGAAGGATCCTCGGTCCACAAAGTCTCCATTGAACAGGTATGGATTGGTCTCCGAAGGCAGACCGTTCAATTTGAATATATTCATGAGGTCATAGTACTGTCCGTGAATGTCTCCACAGACTGTGAACTTTGCATCGTCTGGGACCTTAATGTCGATTAGTGAGGGCTGCTCTTGGAGGTACGCTTTGACGTCAATTAAGATCTGAAAATAAAAACATTAAAAATAATCTTCTGATTTGTTTTATACAGAAAACCATCTTAGCCTAAGCGCAGACCACCGATTTTTAGTTGCCCGATAGTTGAGCCCGATTTTAATTTGTATGAAGAATCGGCCGATACCAAATCGGTGTAATGTGCGCACTTCCATCATCTCCATACTGATTAACAGCCAGACCCAACTATCGGCCAACTAAAAGTCGGCGGTCTGCGCCTAGGGAAAGTAACTAGCATAAGCCTGCAGCTTCGTTTGTGTAATTTAAAAAATAATACTTCACCAAGAACCATCACGGTGTACAAGCAGTATAAGTATATTCAATTTATTGTTGATTAAAAAGATACAAACATCCCCACTCAAGGAGTGACATGTGGGTAATGTGACCATCATTAATTGTGACAAGTAAATAAATCTTTCATTGGTTCGTTTCAGCCAAATGATGTCCACTACTGAACAAAGGCTTTCCCCAAGGATTTCCATAACGACTGGTCCTGCACTGCCCGCCTCTAGATACTCCCGCGACCTTTTCCAGATCGTCGGTCCACCTAGTGGGAGTAGGAGGCCCACACTTCTCTTTTCGGCCTGAGGTTGCCAATTCGCCAAAAAGTCTCAAAAACTGAAGCAGTTATATTATTAAAGATTAAAATAATAAAACAAACCTTGTAAGCATATTTCTTGTGAAGCTTCTTTTGTGTTTTGAAAAATTCCATAAGTTCGGTAACGAATTTGAGTGTGACCTTGCCATCTTCTAGCTCGGGACCTTCGTATTCGTCTTCTATGGCTGTTGAACACATAATTCAAATTAATTCATATAAATTGAACTATGAACTCGTAAAGTTATGTTACTAAACCCTAAATCATACATTTTTCCTCAACAAGGCTGTTTTAGTAGCCATAGAATTTTTTCCAATTTACGCTTGTCAAATCTATTGGCCACTGCAGAGTGGAATATTGTATACAGACAATTAAAACAAAAGCATATAGTCTGATATGCTGTGTGTGAGGGCCAAGGTTTTTGAAATTAGTAGATAATACTTTGAAACATACAGTAAGAATATTACACATTAATACTGACAATAACATTATTTAACTACTGTTGTAAATACTCATTTAATAATCAAACTCGTCGTTTAACTTTGCTGCAGTAGGTATTATAGATAACTTTCCACAAAAAACACAAAAACTTGACTATTAAAATCTTGAATGATATAAAATATTCTACATACACAATAACTCGTCAGAGTTTGATGCACGAAAACAAGAAAAACAGGAACAAAACATTAAAAAGTCAATTCACTTGCACGTAACTATAACACAAGAAGGACTAAGCATAAATTATCATACATATTGATACCATTATCAATTAGTGTACCGGAACCAAATCAGTGATAAGCTTGATAAATCTTTAGTACCAATAGTATTGTAATCACTACCACATTCTCATGATTATGCTTATTTTTTTATAGTAAAACAGACTCTATACTATAAAATATAAAATCTCTTTTAGTACACAACACTATTAAACTATCAAAAATAATATATTCAGAAATTAAGATAAAAACTGCCTAGCTTAACACCAGTGCTGTTACTATGTTGACTAAATTATGAATAATACACATTATACCTAGCTAAGTAATTTTTCAAAATAACATTTTTAAATTATATTAATTTTAGTATAATGATATTTAAATAGTTTCACTATTTTTTTACTAATAAACATAGATAAAAGATCATAGGTAATTCTAATACTGACAATAATTTTATAACAGGCAGAGCAGACAAAAAATCAGTAAACAACAGTCAAGTCCTGCTAAAACAACTTTGCATATAAATAGAGAAATTGTATGTTAAGTCACAAATATTTAATAATGTACAGTCTGATGAAACTTAATGGTGGCTCAGATATTAGCTGCGAATGCGAGGTTTTTCACCCCACTTGCTCCACTGATACCTAATTCAAATAGTTTTTTCAGTACATAGGTCCTTTCTAGGGCACTTATACAAGTCCCAAATATAGCTTGATATATTGCCTAATATTGTGGTACNCGAAATAGACTTCATACTGAGCCCTACACCAAAAACTATAACAAACATAGAGGTTCTAAACCAAATAAATTTCCCGTCTGACCACAGGATTGTCAGATGTTCCATAAAAATTAAGAAACCTAAAACTGGCCGAGGAAAATTCAAAATGTTACCCAATAAACTGAAGTCTACTGACGAGATAAACAACTACATACAAAACCTACAAAAGAACATATCATCAACTATGCAACTCCTAAAGGGACATAAAAGTGTTCAAACTTTTAGTGACAAACTGGAAGAAGTATTAACAGAAAGCCTTAAAATCGATGTAAAAACAACCAATAGATGCACCAAAAAGATCATCAGCCAACACACACAAGACCTAATCCGAAGAAGAACTGAACTGATATCTATGAAAGACAAATCCAAAGAAAAAATAAACTGAAGTCTACTGACGAGATAAACAACTACATACAAAACCTACAAAAGAACATATCATCAAATATGCAACTCCTAAAGGGACATAAAAGTGTTCAAGCTTTTAGTGACAAACTGGAAGAAGTATTAACCGAAAGCCTTAAAATCGATGTAAAAACAACCAATAAATGCACCAAAAAGATCATCAGCCAACACACACAAGACCTAATCTGTAGAAGAACTGAACTGATATCTATGAAAGACAAATCCAAAGAAAAGAGAGAGGAACTAAAGGAATTGTTCAAACAAACCAATAAATCAATCAGAAGAGATTATGATAACCACAGAAGAGAAATAATAGTAAAAAACATGTCATTGTTCCGGAGTTCGAAAAGAGCGTACAAAGAACTAATTACGCACAAAAATTGGGTACAGAGTCTAAACAGTGGGAGGGGCGAAATCAGAGACAGAGAAGGTATAATAGAATGTGCAACAGCTTTCTATTCCTCGCTATATCAAAAACCACCACTAGAAATGACAGAAGAGGATGAAAATAGCGATATAACGAAAGAGGATACAGGAGAAACAAAAATAAACCCAATAACGGAAAGTGAAGTATGGATTCACATTACAAAATTAAAACATGAGAAGAGCCCAGGAGAAGACAACATTACAAATGAAGCCCTGAAAATCGGTGCGCGAATTCTAGTCCCATATCTAACTGAGATGTTTAACTTAGTACTGGAAGAAGAACAAGTACCATCGCAATGGACTAAGTCAAACATAATTCTGCTGTATAAAAAAGGAAGTCCACTCGACATCGGCAACTATAGACCTATCAGCCTACTATCTGCAATATATAAACTCTTTTCATCAATAATTCTCAGCAGAATAGCATCAAAAATTGACAACAATCAACCAATAGAACAAGCGGGCTTTAGACCACATTACTCAACAATTGATCACATCCATACAATAGAACAAGTAATGGAGAAATTTAAAGAATTTAATAAACCACTTTATTTGGCATTTGTGGATTATTCCAAAGCATTCGACAGTATAGTGCACTCATCCATATGGACTGCTCTAAGGAACAACGATATAAATAAAACATACATAAATATCATCAAAAACATCTATTCCAAAAGCGTAAGCAGAGTAAAACTGGAAAGACAAGGAGAAGAGTTCATAATTGGAAGAGGAGTGCGGCAGGGAGACCCGCTCTCTCCTAAACTGTTCATAGCTGTGCTGGAGGACATTTTCAAGAATATTGATTGGAAAAATAGAGGCATATGGATAGATAATAATAAATTGACACACCTAAGGTTTGCAGATGACATAGTTCTATTCAGTGAATCAGCTACAGACTTAGAGAAAATGTTGCAAAGTGTGAACTATGAAAGTATAAAAATCGGCTTACACATGAACGCTTCTAAAACTAAAATCATGTCAAACAGTCCTAGGAAAACAATAAAAATAGAGGAAAAACCTATAGAATATGTAGATGACTATGTATACCTAGGCAAATTGGTGTCATTCGATACAAACAGCAACGAAAACGAACTAGACAGACGAATAGGTGTAACATGGAAGAAATACTGGGCACAAAAAGAAATCTTAAAAGGGAATTATAACTTAAATATAAAAAAGACAATAATGGATTCCTGCATTCTCCCAAGCCTAACTTATGCTAGCCAGACATGGGTCTTTACGGAAAGAGTAAAAAACAAAATCTCCTCTTGTCAACACGCAATGGAGAGAAGTATCTTAAAACTAAGAAGAATACAAAAGACTAGAAACACAGACATCCGTATGAAAACTAAATTATCAGATGCTCTTAAATTTAGCCTAAAGCAGAAGTGGAACTGGGCAGGTCATTTGGCAAGATATAAAGATAAGAGGTGGACCTATCAAACAACAAAATGGCAAGGCCCAAAAGGCAAAAGAAACGTAGGACGGCCGAAGAAAAGATGGGCCGATGACATAACAAACAAGGCAGGGAAAAATTGGATGCACATAGCCAGCGACAGGGAAAGGTGGAAAAAGATGGAGGAGGCTTTTACCCAAGTGGGGCCACTAACAAGAGATATAGATTAATTGAATCAAACTGTAAAAATGTGGAATACAAAGCTATAATAATAATAATAATAATTGTGGTACTGTAGTACTGCAGTGACTATGTTCTACTGTTCCTAGCTGCCATAGTTTAAATCAGACTGTATTATTTATTTATTTAGGTACAGCAACAGAATACAAATTAGTTTTTACAAATAATTTAGACAATAAAAAGGAACATCAAATAAATTTGCACTCCAGTTATAGCTATACACGACATTTGCTTAGTACATGACACAACTGTTTAGCTTAATCTTATACAAAAATAGTTCCAAAACAAAAACTTCACAGATAAATGGCTCTATTATAACTTGTATGTATTACTTTATTATACTTACTCATAGCATCCAAGTTGATACTATCTGCGATGTTCACTTCCTTTTTATCCACAGAAATGGCTTTTTCAAAGGCGATCTTCTTAACTATTTTATTGCATTCATTATACTTCATTTTTGCATCTTGATCATTTGGCCTAACTTTGGTTACCTAAAATTGTTTCAAATCAATGTAAAAACAATGCCATTAAAATGTTATATCAAACTGACATGCAATACGATATTATTGCATAATATTTTTATTTCACGATCAATTAATAATATCATAATAAAATAATTCATGTATTAATGATTTGGCCATGAATTTGTCATGGCCAAATCGTTAGAATTACACTAAAAATAGTTCAGTGATTAAGGGTACAGGAAATTCACAACAAAATACACAAAATCATTCGCAATCAACAAGTTTCTATGTTCACTCACTGCTGCAGCACAGTTATTATAGCTCTTATTTTATTCAAAGGGTAAATGTAGATACTTACATATTCAAAATCCTTAAGTGCTAGTTTGTACCTTCCTAGGGACATATGAGCCGCAGCCCGCCTGTAGTACGCCTTGGTGTAGGATCGGTCTAACTCTATGGCCTTAGAGGCGTCAGTCAAGGCATATCCGAAATTCTCAAGTCTCAAATTCGCTATACTCCTATTTGCGTAGAAAACCGCATTCTTAGGGTTCTTCTCAATAGCCTTCGAGTAAAACTCGATTGCGGTATCGTAATTTTGTTCTGAAATTTTGAGGTTATACGTGTCAATTTATTTCAGTCACGAAAATCGATATCCGATCGGGTTTTCAATAATGACTTAAATATACACCAGCAGACTTATTTGCATACCAAATAGAGATAAAATACTCACTTTTGAAATAGTCATTTGCTTCATTTTTCAATTTTTCTGCCGCCTCTATGTCCTCCTGTGACACTGGGCCCGTGATTTCTTGATTGCTAGCCATCACTTAACGCGTAACAAACGGGTTTGTAAAAGTTCTCCGAATCCAAATTAGCTCCTAATCTTAAAAATGATGGTTTCTTTCATCCATTCACATCATCCGCAACTCATGAAAAATTTACTGGCTGGAAGATGATAGATGAATGAATAATTTGTAGAATGAATGACTTTTCTGAATGAATGACGGATCACCTAACTTTTTAATCAATGTTGCCATAATAATGAGCTCTATAGCTCATGTACATTAGAGTTGTGCATTGCATTAAACATAATCGAAATTGAGAATGTTACTAGGTATGCAAAATCACTTGAAACCTATGTTACAGTTAAGCTTTTACATTTACAAATACATTAGTTTTTATTAGATTCAAAAATACCCAGTAGTTATGATTTTATAGGCATTCAAAGTTCGCTTAAATATTGAGTCCCGCCGACGGTCACGTGACCCCGTGTGACGTACATTCACAGCGTCCGCTCACTAGAAAACGGATATAAACATACTTAAATATTTTTTTTTTGTAAATACATACTTATTATACATATTAACACCCAGACCCATCACAGAAATTAAAATTGAACCAAACCCAAAGTTGATGCCTGTTTAATTTTTCATACAAAATTTTTCGATGACACTTTGAATACGCAACGAAACGAACTCGAAAGTTTTTCCTACTAGAGGTACTGTAACCAGACGGTTCTTGGCGGGAAAGTGAATCTTTGTGATTTACAATTTCGTTTTATTTTTGATTTCGTATTTAGCGAGCAAATTTTAATAAGTAAATTGTGGATTATGAAGTTCATGAGCAAATAAAACAAAACAGTGTAAAGCGCTTACGAAGATCCGCGTTAGCGCGCAATAAATTATTGCCACATAACTATTAAATCTCAAGGTAAGCCCTGCTTCTTTATTTACTTATCTACATAACATTCATCAAAAAATTTACACTGGTTTTAGACGAATATTGCATGAAGCTTTATATAGCTTTTTATCAGGTTCTGTTTCTAATACCTGGCTACAGAATATCCATACTTTTAATAAAAATTCAAATGCATTTCATAACTTTATTATTTAAAATTATCTTAAAATAGCACATCTTTATGAAGGAACGAGCTGTGTTAGAATCTTTACTACAGTTTTCTTGTCCATCTTGCACTTGGGATACAGGGATTGACAGTCGGTGTCCATCGACCGACCGGCGGAGATAGCCTCGAAGATCGCGGTGCCGTCCAACATACGTCGAACAAATGAATTGCTGAAAAATAAAAATGTTAATTTAAGTAAAATAATTGAAAGTGCAAAAAAATATCGTTTTAAAGGTGAGATAAGATCATAAACGATTGTAAACTTTATGAATCTGGCTTAAGTAGTTACCTAAAGTAAGTACCTAATTTTTAAAACGAATTCGGGTACAAATGAGTGTCTGCTATGATGATAGCTCGAAATGCTTATTAAAGCCAAGTATAACAACGCATCATCATTTCGGCCTCAGGACATCCACCGCTGAACATAGTCCTCCAATGATATCCAGATTTCCTGGTTAGTAGCGGCTTGTATACAGCGCCTTCCTGCTGCTTTTATGAAGTCATCTGATTAAACTGGGTCCCGTACGTAGTGGCGAAGGTCGATTTAGCGAAGTACGTTTTGGCGAAAAACATTCATGGTGGTAGGTACGTTGGAGCGAAAGGCTACTAAAGCGAAACACTCGCGGCCGAAAAAGTACTTTTGCTGACCTAGGTAACAATGTACGAAATAACATGTATTTTCATGAAATTAAATTGTTATTATATGTCATTGATCAAAAATAAAATCAAAATTAAGCTCTCCTAGGCCAGCAAAAGTAGGTACTTTTTAGGCCGCGAGTGTTTCGCTTCAGTGGCCTTTCGCTTCAGCGTACCACAATGAATGTTTTTCGCCAAAACGTACTTCGCTAAATCAACCTTCGCCTCTACGTACGGGACCTGATTAAACTCACTTAGACAAATTAGACAGCAATGCGTCGAAGTCAGTAGCGTTCCCAGCGAGCATGTTCTCGTTGGCGAGCTGCACGTAGGAGCACGACAGCCGCTGCATGCACGCGCCCGAGTCGATGTTGTAACGGCTGAGCGTCTCGTCGAGCTTGTTCAGCATGTCCGATATCTGACTCATGTCGGTCTCCAGACCTAAGAAATAAAATGATAAAGAAATATTAGTAAACACCACAGGGGGACAGTCCTACAGCTATTAGGTTTCCCTTCTTTCCCGTAGATTATTAGACGTCCCACTAATGGGATTACTGAAAAACTCATTTATTCGTGTAAGTAGTAATAGTACCCTACAGTTTTACTGGAATCCTGTTCTAACAGAAGTTGAAAATTCCTAGAATCTCACCAAAAATCAAAATCCTTGAAAATTAAAAACAAGAAATAAAAAACATAACCCTCCTTCTGGCGCAGTCGGGTAAAAATGACTGCCTTAGTAGGTAATATAATTTTTGACACTATCTTACTCGCTTGAAACTTAATAACGTTTTCTTCAAATTCAACTTACTTCGACCGTAACCGCCGCCATAGCCGTATGACAATGCGTGGATAATTTTGGGCAGAATGATGACAGCTCCGAAGCCAAGGATTGACCCGATTAGCACTCCTCCCAGGTCGATCTTCACTGGTCCGTACAATCCTGGCGCTGAACTACCGTAGCCACCCTGGAAAAAGGATAATAGGAAACATAGGATTTGGAATAAACTATTTATCTTAAAATCTGCCTTCCCCTTTTATTTCAAACAACTGTCCTCTCCCAGGATTGTCTAGAAGAGATCGCTCAAGCGATAAAACCGCCCAAACTTGTATTTAATCTAAGTTTGGTGGTAAGTTACTAACTTAATCAATATTATATCTGTTACGGTCAAAGTGATAAATGTGAAAATTATGAATAATCGCCGGTTATTATGAATAATTACCGCATGATTTGGTTAATGTGATTAATATGAGGTCATTTATGTGTGGTGTATAAAACTAAATAGGCGGCTTAGGGGTGGCCCAAGGGCCACCCCCGCCGCACCTTAACCTATTTTTCACTTTAAATCAATAGAGATGAAACGGATATCCGGTAACTATCCGGTAGGCCGGATATCCGGCCTAAATTTACTATCCGGCCGGATACCGGATAGTAACTCACTATCCGGCCGGATACCGGATATTAAAAAACTACGACAATTTCCTATTAATAAAATGAAATACATTAATTTTTGAGGTAACATCAATAAAATGGCTTATAATAATGACGGCTTTTATTTAAAGTTACAAAAAGCCATATTAGAGCCTTTAAAAAAACTAATTTCTTTTTCTGGGCTATTCACTCTAATGACGAATACATAAATAGTAAATATCTGTTAAGTCGAAATATTGTCAAATAAAATAGGTGATATTTTTTTCACTGATGTCTGATGTCATGATGCAGTTCAGTCAGATTATGCAGCAAGTAAACTAATTTAATTTTCGCTATTCAATCACACACTCACCATGGCAACCGAAATCGCCCGAATTGATCTGCCCCCTAGACAAGTGGCAAAATCTGACATTCTATTCGGACTGATTCGATTTTCGAAAAGTGTGACTAGTCTAGTCTACTAATAGACCCACTGATCGCGTTCGAAGAACCTGTGCGGCGCTAAACTTGTCACGACATGCAACGAGACAATGGGTTAACTATCCGGCTGCCGGATATCCGGCTATCCGGCCTAGCAGCTGGCCGGATATCCGGTATCCGGTATCCGGCCAAACAACTATCCGTTTCATCTCTACAAAACATTATGNCTTAGGGGTGGCCCAAGGGCCACCCCCGCCGCACCTTAACCTATTTTTCACTTTAAATCAAAACATTATGTTATAGGCATCATGGAAAAGTAATATTATGCAAGAAACATTCCAAACTCATTATGCCAAATTATATTAATATATGATATCAAAACGTTCAAAAGTTTGGCTGTACACGAGCACGTACACAAGATGTTGTTCTATTTTAAGAAATTTGTTAGTACTAAGGTTGAATTATTAAATAATCACTGTTAAATGTGATTAATTTATCACTTTTACCGCGACTGTCGGTAATTATTCATAATAACCGGTTATTATTAATAATTTTCAATTTATCACATTAACCGTAACACGTCCCTTGGCTGAAATGTTGAATGATGATCCTTATTACCTGCCCCCCGGTGCTCCCGTAAGAGGAGATACCGAAGCGCTGAGTCCTCTCCGGCTGGCTGTCGCGGTCGCCCTTCTCGACCCTCGCAGAGGGCTCGGCCAGCTGGTCCTCCGTGCGGTACCCGGCGCTCGGCAGGAAACCCCTGAAATCAAGGCTATGGACTGTGATCATCTACCATTTTTCATAAGAGAGATACCGTCATATTTAGGTACTAGCGGACTTCGTACGCGTGGATCCCGTTTTACCCCCTTCATCTATCTTACGCGGTTTAGATTTTTTCATACAAATGTTTTTTCCCGCTAACTCCTGTCCCCGTGGGAATTTTGCAATATCCTGTTGTAACTAAGCTTTAAGTTTACTAAGGTACCTGCATGCCAAATTTCAAGCGTCTAACTTAAGCGGTTTAGATTTTTCATACAAAAGGATTTTCCCGCTAATTCCCGCTCCCTTGGGAATTCCTAAGTATACTATAACCTGCCCAGGAGTATGAAGAATAATTGTACCAAGTTTCGTTAAAATCCGTTGAGTAGTTTTTGTTTCTATAAGGAACATACAGACAGACAGACAGACAAAAATTTTACTGATTGCATTTTTGGCATCAGTATCGATCACTAATCACCCCCTGATAGTTATTTTAAAAAATATTTTTCATGTATAGAATTGACTTCTCTACAGAATTACTAAGCTGTTGTTTTAAAACTTAGTGCCAATATTGATTAATCAAATAGTATCGGACTAAAGGGCAACTGTAGTAAAAATTAAAATTCTGGACATTGACTAAAAAGTTACAACATGTCTTTGAATTTGGACCTTGAAGAAGGCTGTATATTGTGGATCACTACCACATTTCGTGATTCATTTAGGACTGATCGAAATACGAAGTTACACGTACGTAATATAATTGTAATTAAAGCTAAGGACTTTTCCAAAAATACAGCTCCTTACCCATCGCTCCTGTAATCCGCCTTTGCCTCAAACGCCACCAGCACCAAAAGTAAACAGGCTCTCATCTTCACTCCCTGGACACACTGGCCGGTCCACAACATCCGCATTATGCTATATAGAAGGCGTTCCGAAGCCTGCCCCTGAACAATCGCATGAGGAAATACCATTGTCCCATGTGTGGCACTAAGGAGTTACATAACCCTTTCCACGACGATTCGTCACGCAGGCTGCTCGAGATGACATCGAAGCAGGAAGGTATGCAAGCATTAGGGTATGTTGGTCACCGACGCCGTGGTATGTCAGGAAGATACACAATGGTCTAGTTTAATGGAAAAGTACAAATTAGTGTACATCCGACTACATCCTGTACGATAATCATTAGGAATTACGGTCAGAATAAGTAAATAGGTAGCGTTCATTGAAACACGTTTTAAAAAAACTAGCGGCCTTTTTATCCTCAGGGGTTGAGTTTCGTAAAACCCGTTCTTAGTGAGCACCTACGTTCTAAAAGGAACCCCTAGCACTTGTAGTTTCTGAGATTTGGTGATGAGTGAGTGAGTCAGACCTTTCGCTTTTATAAATACCTAGTTAAAGAGATATTTTGCGTTTTCCAAAGGTAAAGAAAATTACCTATAGTTTAGTACACTAAGGAAACGATTCATCCCTTTCATTTAGTATGGAGATAATATCCCTCTCAGATTTTGTAGCTTTAGTGGAATGCCTCAAATTGTTAAGTTATCTATTTTTATTTGATAAAAAGTTTGGTAAGCACCTGTTTGTTTATTACGAAAATCACACACATGTAAACAATGCACATTTTGTGTGCTCTGATTGTTTTGTCGTCGCTCAAGGGCGTGTAATTTTATTGTTTCACTAAACGACAAACTTAAAAATTAGAAAACAGTTTACATTCTAAATTCTATTTCGCTAGCAAAGTGCAGACAAACAACCTCTTGTTGTTGGCTATTACCCCCTCCCTCTAAAAACTAAACTGTTGGCTTGAAAAATCTGGAAAAATTCATAATAATAGTGCTTTTTCAAGGAAAACTGTAACGGTTAAGATAGAGTAGTGAGTTTAAGAGTAATAGACGTGTATCTTATGTATTAGAAAATTTCATATCTAATAAAAATTCTGACTGACATGACTTTAAATGATTTTAATTGCTTGCTTCTGAAATATATTGTGGTACTCGTAACGACGGACTACTACAGAACCCCACACGCACTTAGCTAATTTTTGAATTCCACTTCACACAAACAGTGAAGAGGCAACTCTAAAAAGTTCCTTTTCCATCTTTCCATAGCGCACTACATTCCTTATTAAGTAATACCTAATTAAGTACTACCTATTATGAAGTTCTATATTTTCATGCTTTGACTCTTTTGGCACATTTTCATGGCTCTACTTACTCTAACCTTTTCTGAAGTTTTTAGTTATTCTCAAGAGAAAAGTCAAATACCGTTTCCAATTTATTAATTAGGTGAACGCAAGTGAAAACAGTATTTTGTCAAAATTACAGTTTTAAACTAAAACAAAAAGCTTTTTACATTAAAAATAGTCATCTTTTGAAGCGCTGTCCGTGAAAATGGTGTTATTAATAGATAATACGACTTATTCTGTCCATAGACTTCTGTGTGCCATAGATATGGCAAGAAATATCCCTCCCAAGTTGTGAAAATTCGATTGAATATACTCTACTCCAAATTGACAATACAAGAAATGCAAAAGCGTGGGGCGTGGGGAGTCTTTATTCCCCCCAAAAGACTCCCCACGCCAATTGAGACGATCTTATTACTAGAAAACGATCTATACTTATACACTCGCGAGCAAAAGTATGGAATCACTTACATGAAGTTGTTTCCACGCGATCTTGTGTACCTACTAACGAATTTGTTAGTAACAAAAAAAGTAGCACCATTTTAAAGATTAAACTTTTAACTTTAAATTGATACCGAATTCATTTAAATCACACCAGTATTTAAAAAGATATCCCGGCCGATGTGAAGAAGTAAGAAAAAAGACATGTATCAACTGTTTGATACGTCGCGAGGTGCGGCCTATTTACCCCCTATAAAAGCACGTGTTTTCGGATTTTTGCGTTCACGCGTTGATCCATACACATCTCGGCTTCTTTTGAAACTTTACCTGGGACTCTACACCTACAGAAGCAGCACAAATCGTTGCACTGTTGCAAGAAGGGCTCAGCCAGCGGGCTGTCGCACGTCAGCTCCACATAAGCCAGTCCTAGGTTTCGAAAGTTTTAAGACGCTTTTGGGAGACTGGTGTCTTTATCCCGAGACCAAGTTCTGAACAGCGCCGGTGCACATCGCAGAGCGATGACCGTTTTTTCATGTCAACCTCTCTATGAAATCGTCATTTGACTGGTATCGACGTCCAGCAAGAGCTCAGAAATGTTCGTAGGATAGCTGTTAGCGAGTGGACAGTTCGTCTAAGATATGAGCAATAAAATTTGACTCCAAAAAGGCCTGCCACAGGCTGGAAACTGACGGCAGGTCACCGACAAGCACGCTTTCAATTAGCTCGCACTCGGAAGGCGAGTAATGGAGGCGAGTTTTGTTCTCCGATGAATGCAGACTGTTTTTGCAGTGCAGCAGTCGAAGAGGTCGGGTCTATAGACGGCCTGGGGAGCGATTTGTGCAGTGCTGGTTCGCTAAAACATTGGCTTATGGGGGTGGCTTGCTCGACTTCCCATCGAGATGTGTAGGAGCAAATTGAAAGCGTGCTTATCGGTGACCTGCCGTCAGTTTCAAGCCTGTGGCAGGCCTTTTTGGAGTCAAATTCTATTGTTTATATCTTAGACGAACTGTCCACTTGCTAACAGCTATCCTACGAAAATTTCTGAGCTCTTGCTGGACGTGGATACCAGTCAAATGGCGACTTCGTAGAGAAGTTGACATGAAAAAACGGTTTTCCCTCTGCGATGTGCACCGGCAATGATCATAACTTGGTCTCGGGATAAAGCCACCAGTCTCCCGAAAGCGTCTTAAAACTTTCGAAACCCAGGACTGGCTTATGTGGAGCTGATGTGCGACAGCCCGCTGACTGAGCCCTTCTTGCAAGTGCAACGATTTGTGCTGCTTCTGAAGGTGTAGAATCCCAGGTAAAGTGTCAAAAGAAGCGGAGATGTGTATGGATCAACGTGTGAAAGCAGAAATCCGAAAACACTTGCTTTTATGGGGGGTAAATAGGCCGCAACTCGCGACGTATCAAACAGTTGATACATGTCTTTTTCCTTACTTCTTCACATTAGGCGGGATATCTTTTTAAATACTGGTGTGATTTAAATGAATTTGTATCAATTTAAAGTTAAAAGTTTAATCTTTAAAATGGTGCTACTTTTTTTGTTACTAACAAATTGGTTAGTACACAAGATCGCATGGAAACAACTTCATGTAAGTGATTCCATACTTTTGCTCGCAAGTGTAGTCAACCCAGGGAGATTTCTAGTAGAAAAAGATAAGTGCTTTCTTCCTAGGTCCTACTAAAGTTTGTTGGTCTTCATATATTCGATTACGTGACTGCTTTGACTGTGCCACATTTTATACGAGTACTTACTTACACGAAGAAAGTTTAATTGAATCGACATCATTCAATTGTATTCGGGTAGGTAGGTACTATATTGCTTTAATAAACTACAACGTCAACGTCAAATAGTTCATGCTAGGTACCCAAAGTAGTCAAAAGTTCACAACACGTCATTGTGTTCTCAAATTTTTGGTAACTTTGGGTATCACGACCTATTTGACGCTGACTGTATACCGACCCAAGGGTCTCCGAAGAGTACATCGTGTAGGCCACAGAATTTGTCTTAGTTAAATTGTACTATTTTATCTCGCTGCCGTCTCTAACCTTTCTTAAGCTCGAACGCCAGCGAGTCTGGAAGGCGTTAAGCTGCCTTAACCATTTCTACTTCTCGACGAACAATACGCGGAACACTCAGCACCAACGCATAATAATTTCCTTCGCTATTTCTTTATACACACCATACAAATGGTGGCACACGACGTTTCGTTTTGGCGCTGGAACCATACACATTATTGGCTCAAATTAGAGAATTCTTTTTTTTAATATGTGCGCAAAATGTTGGTTGGTGTTTTTTCAAGTGCTCATTGTGGTGGCCAGTGACAAGGGAGGACCGAGACAATCAAGGTTTTTCACATTCAATACCGTCAATGAAGACATCAGGGTGAGTGCATTTGTTTAATTTTAAAAATCAATACTATCAAACGCCCTTCTCGTTTATAATTTTAATAACATAGCGCTCAACCTCAACGATTTCATTAATGTTTTGTTTTTAATTTTAATGTAGCTTTAATCTATATTGTAACATCAACATCAATGTAGCATAAACATGTTGATTTATTTTCAAACCATTAATTAATTATTTCGATGTAGTTAAAAAGCATTTAATGCGGTAATGTTACTCCGAACTGAATATCAATTAAAAGATAACTACGCATTTTACTTTTTTTTTTACTTTTTTGCATAACTACAATATTTGTTTTGGTTTTGCAGATAGACCTCGATTTTTCAGTTCCATTTATTAGCATCCCAGTGAAAAAAACTGTAGAAAACTTTGGCTCCTCATTGGTAAGCATAATTATTATTTTATTTTGAAGTTATAATTTTATGATTTTTTATTATTTTCCTTCTGATCCCTAGAAACGCCCATCATTAATTTCATACCAATTCATATTATTTAGAGCTTTCAAAAATTATTATAGTCATAAAAACATGTGCGTTCCCTTCGAGAGGCCACTGTGGAAAACGAAGGTTTCGTATACATAAATATTTAGCAGAACCTCTAAAACAAATGTAGCCAGAATGATAAATTTGTAGGTGTTGTAAGTTGGACGCTACAACCCGCCGAATGTAGTCCCTCAGATGAACTATGTCAAATACCAAATTACTGAATCTGACCAAATAAGATGATTTTGATGAATGGTAATATTTAGGAGGTAAATCGTAGGGCTACATATGAAAATAAGAGCTCTGTATAGTTACTGCAAATAAAGAAAATCCAATCAGACGATGGGCCCTCAGTTCACCAGTGCACAAAATTTACTTTAATGCTACAAATTGGAACTTGAGACTAAGTTCCTTTGGTAAGGTTTTAATTTTAGCAGAAGTAGCCACAATGCTACCCTGAGAGTACAGGGTTTATATATTCTACTAGTACAGAATAAAAGCTCTAGTAAAGTGAGCCCTCGGAACACACGCTAAAAACCAATTCCATGATAAATATCTCGCCCAACTCATTGTTTGATAAAAATAGTTTACACCATTTTATGTACAAAATTTGCAGTTTAAAATTGTATTCAAATATTATTGCTGTATAAAGTATTTAAAGAAATATCTTGCTTCTTAAATTCTCCGTAATGATTTTGTGTATGTTAACCACATTGTCGATTTTTTTAGGAAACTCAAAACTAAAGTATAAGTAGGTATTCCGTACTATTGCCTAAGAGGTATATTGAGATAAATCAGAGTCTATTGATTTTATTTTAATTAAATAGGTAAGTACGACGTAAAAATAATTTTATTTAAAGTAGGTACCTACGCATTGTGAGATACGGACTAGATTTAGAGCTGTGATACAACAAAATCGATTAATGCCGCGGTTCATTAATCAATAGCAGTGATTCGTTCGTTCGTTTCAGCCATAAGACGTCCACTGCTGGTCAAAGGCCTCCCCCAAAGATTTCCACAATGGCCGGTCCTGTGCCGCTCGCATCAAGGTACCTCCCGCGACCTTCACCAAAACGTCGGTCCACGCCACGTCTTCCGGCTCTTCGTCGCCACTCAAGAACTTTCCTGCCCCAGCGGCCATCAGCTCTACGAGCTATGTGCCTAGCCCAAGCTGCCACTTGATTTTAGCTATTCTGCGGGCTATGTCAGTCACTTTGGTTCTCCTACGAATCTCCTCATTTCTGATTCGATCACGTAGGGAAACTCCGAGCATAGCTCGCTCCATGGCCCTTTGGGTGACCTTGAGCCTTCATGAGGCCCATAGTAAACGACCACGTCTCAGATCCGTATACCATCACTGGCAACACACACTGGTCAGTCTTAAATAAATAAAATAAAAGTATTTAGGTAAGTAATTCAGATAACAGAGATCCATAAATGTTAGTAAAAACTTAGGCTACTTAATGTTAGTACCTATCTTATTTCTAAAACCGACCTCGTCCTGCTGAGCATGTGGCCGATCAGTGGACAATCCCCACTTTCGGCTATCTCCTTCAGTACGCTGTGGCACAGTTCTTAAGACACTGCGGTATTTCGGACGTGAGAATATCGCGAAGCTTCCCGGCGGACGCTGCCCAGCCGAGTTGAATTCGACGATTGAGTAAAAATCGCCCTGTATACATGGTGATTTTGTTATCAGTATACTTTTTTTATTATGCTCTATCTATAGAAATGTTTAACAGTACAACTTTATCTTGAATTTTTTTAATCATGGTATAGGTTGTGTAGGGACACTTTTTCTAGTTATCCATTAATTTTCTGATGTGTGGTTACCCTAATACGAATATTTTGTTCACACATAAATGAGTCCGTTTTATTTCAAGAAAGGAAATATTTACACACCACACAGATACTCAAGTTTGTACTACGAAATGACTACGTTTTTATATTATTATGTGTAAATTAATACACCTTCCACCTTGTCTCTAAATATGATAACTATTTTCTGAAACGTGTGGCCCGAGGGCTCACTTTACTAGAGCTTTTATTCTGTACTAGTAGAATATATAAACCCTGTACTCTCAGGGTAGCATTGTGGCTACTTCTGCTAAAATTAAAACCTTACTAAAGGAACTTAGTCTCAAGTTCCAATTTGTAGGATTAAAGTAAATTTTGTGCACTGGTGAACTGAGGGCCCATCGTCTGATTGGATTTTCTTTATTTGCAGTAACTATCCAGAGCTCTTATTTTCGTATGTAGCCCTACGATTTACCTCCTAAATATTACCATTCATGAAAATCATCTTATTTGGTCAGATTCAGTAATTTGGTATTTGACATAGTTCATCTGAGGGACCACATTCGGCGGGTTGTAGCGTCCAACTTACAACACCTACAAATTTATCATTCTGGCTACATTTGTTTTAGAGGTTCTGCTAAATCTTTATGTATACGAAACCTTCGTTTTCCACAGTGGCCTCTCGAAGGGAACGCACATATAAAAACTCTAGCAACCGTAAGGCTTACCTTGGTACGCGTCAATAGGCCTCAGAGGTTGGCGGAGAAAATGATGAGGGATTTCGCATCCATTACTTTAAAAAGTGGACTTATCGGCTTAAACTTTCGAACTTTAATTAGATAATTTATCTTTATTTTTCTTCTCATAGTTTCACGACAAGTGTATTCTCGACGAAGTAAAAAAAATCTATTGAATTTTCAGGGGTTACCAACCATCAACATCAACCCGGCATCGCTCGCACTGGGAGGTGTGATGGTGATAGCTACTACAGTGCTGATCCCGTTCTTGGTAAAGAACTACGCCTACGATTATCCCCATAGAAGATATGCCAAGTGTAAGTTGTGTAATTGTGTGAACCCAGTCAAATGATTTGTCTGTACTGCCCTGCCTACTTAGATATAAAAGGTCCTATATAGGTGAAAGCTATCGTAACTTTAATGAAGTGTTGTCGCCAAGACAGTTTACCTACTTATCTCCTACCTATCATCGTTTTGTCTGTGTTAGCTTAAATAAAGGTGATAAAATAAAAACCGAGAATAATTATTGCAAATGTTTATTAAACCTCCAACAAAAACTTATCAGCTGAGCCAACTTTTATAAATAAGACATCACTATTAATTTCAACTCAAAAGTCAGCTACGACAAGGGGGCCTGCAGCAATTTCTTCTGGAAACCTTCTTCTTGGGTTTGGGCACAGAAGTGCAGGACTTCTTGCATTTTAGTTTAGGGCTTTCCACTATCCCTGCATCTGCTGGAATGTACTGGGTTTCGACATGGATGAAGTTCTTACGCTTCCGAGGAGCTAAGTCGAAGCAACCGAATGGTGGAGTGTATTCTATGTCCCATGTCGCGTTACTCGACAGTGAACTGAGGGACTCCTCCTGGCAGACGCATTCTGGCTCCTTGAACGCTGGACAGCTTTCTATCACCTTATCTATTGCTGTCAGATCATTGCAAAATACGTCCATGTACGCGCATTTGCAAATGTCTTCCACAGCCTCTGCAAGAGCTTTCCTTATTTCAGCGTCTCTTTGCTTCTTCAGCTTCACCATTTTCCGCGCCTCGACCTTAGCCTGTTCCTCTGGGCTGCGCTTCTTGATGATTTTGAAAACCATTGGGTCGCAGTCGACGTAAGGGTCTTCGTTTGGTGCGATTTCTGTCAGATCTTTTAGTGGGTTAACCTGTAACAAAAACAGGACAGGTTACTAATAATGCTAGGTAGATAATCTTGTTTTTGAAACTGGATTGGTTTGGTCAGCTCAGTTTATCGAATTTTTTAAATTGACTTAACGGATTTTTTAAACATTTCCTGCGGAACTGTGTTATACAAAGTTACACTACGTTATTAATTTGTTTCAAGATCATAGCATATTTTGTACTAAAACCAAGTTCATTATCATTAAACACTAAACTTGCCTGAATAGTAAAGACATCGCCTTTCCTCTGAACCTTGAGGGTCGGTTTGGGTTCCAGTGGCTCTTCAGGTTCAGAATCACCACCCCCTAAGTCCGCCCCTGGTCTATTACCTTTCTTTTTCTTCTTTTTGTTTTTGTCCTTGTCAGTGCCTCCACGTGGGCATTTGAATGTCATTATTTTGGCCACGCTTTTCCCTATTACGCCAGGTTGCCAGCCACGTCGAGGCTGAAATATTAGAAAGTTGACATAAGAAATTGCTTTGTGCAAATAGTTAGGTACTTGATGGTATTATTTTCTACAAAAACAGGAAAATAATAGCTCTATCTAAGGTCAAATGCTAATGATGATGATGCACATGATGATGATAACAGAACAAATACGTAGATTATCAATGTCAGAAGGCGACGATCAAAATTGTAAATTACCTTTATTCCTGGAACATCTGGGGAGTCCCAAAGCCAACCCATGTGGGCTGGCACTGCATAGCCTGGCTTGCGGTACAGGCATTGCTTGTGTCCTATCACCACACCTAGAACGAAGAAACACTTTAGGAACATGTTCAGGATCTTGTAATAAAATCATTTCAAGTGACTTAAAATTGAATACGTACCAGGATGAACATCACCAAAGGTGTAGTTGTACTTGGAAGCATTTTTCTTTTTCTTCTTCTTATCATTTTCTTCGTCATCACCCATCTTAATTTAGATCTGGACTTTCTAGAGAAAATCATCTAACTTAGCTAAAGTTTAATTAATAAATAAACAATACATACCTACTAAATGAGAAGTTATAAATAAAAGATGATGATGTTTCAAAGTGTAATAGGATGTTTACATACACTATTTGTTTTTGGGTTACAAAATAAAATGTCAATGGTAATAATCGTAAGCGTTCAACGTTTTTCTTCTTTAAATTTCTCTTGTATAGCCAATTTATGCGCTCCACAGCAACCTCTGCCCATAAGAGATAGCAGTCTCTGCTCTTTATCGCAACATCTTCGTTCTGTGTCGACATTAAATTTATTTATACAACGGTAGTCGTGATCTTTCTCATACCTCATGTAGTCTTTGATAGCCTTCTTTATTCTTTCGTATTCCTTAGAACAACACACTTTACCCGCATCACTGTAGCTGGGCGGCAAAGCGGGCAGTGCCGCAGTTTTGTACATTTTAGCGAAACCGTCAGGGTAAGCGCAAGGTCTACCCAGAACTGGACATGGACCGAGTTTTATTGGAGGTAAGCCGTAGGGCAAAGGTTCTGCTTCGTCTTCATCATCATCCTGTTTCTTCTTCTCTTCATCCTCATTCTTCATAGTGACGGGACAGTTGCTTTTATGTTTGAATGACGGACAATAAGGTTTATGTTGTTTCCTGGCAGCAATGTTAGCTGTCTCAGCGATACAGTCACAATCGAATGTCTTGCATGGAGGCGATGGTTTAGGCGGGCTGCATTTGCAGTCTGTATCTTCAACAATTTGTAAACAGTTATACACAGAATATTTCGGACCTGCAGTTTTCACCTCGGCATTATAAATTTTAGAAGTTTGACCACGTATACTAGGAGTTGAAGCAACAGTTTTGGGAGCCATTCTTAGGCTTGGTGAACTAGCCACGTTGTTTACTTGCGCTCTATATGCTGCCATTTGTTGTATTCTAGCACAACAGCAACCGCCTGTTGGCCTTACCGCTTGACTTGTAGACGCTTTGTTCGACTCACCGGTTTGGAAATCATAACTTGTAGTTAAATTTTCTACGACAAAGTCTTTCCCAAACATAGACTCTTTGTAATCCGGAACTTTTGTAACGCTAAATACATAAGCGATAGTTGTTTTACTGCCACGTGGAGTAGCCCCGGTGCCATACATTTTACTTTTATTGTCCTCGCAAGTCTCTCCAGCATTGACGACACCTCCACAGCCAGAACACATTACTTTCTCCTTGTCTTTGCCCTGCATTTCTGGACATTCGTCACGATGCCACTTGTCATCTTTGCAATCACATGCACCACATATTTTTCTTGATGTTACATCCTTCGTACCGGATACTCCTGAAGCTTCCTTCTTATAAGCCTCAAGGTTTCTTATATACGTTCTCACTTTGTGAGCTAGTGGGCAGTTAGCATTGCCACATGGACCAGTAATATCACCCATGCGAATTTTGTCAATGGGATAAGACTTCTTCGGCTCTTCTTGGCCGTCTTCGTTTTCACATTTATAATCTGCTCCCTTCTGTCCCATACCACAGCTTTGCAGCTCAGTACATACTTCAATCTTCTTTTGGGCGTTGTTTACTACATCTGGATCTTCTAAAGTAGTTGTTTCATAAAGACTGCCAACCATGCAGAAGTTAGGATCATCGCCTTCTATTCTCTTGCATTGGAACATACTAGGTGCTTTATCAGTTCTAAAGACAAATGCGTCAGGGTCTTTCATCAACTGCTGAAATTCTGTTACAATAGCTTCACCCAGCGCACTCAATCGCAATATGAAGCCAACCTCGCCAACTTGTCTGCAGCAGCATTCCGCAAAGATAGGCGTAATCTGCTTGATTGTAAGTGGTTCATGAAGCTTGCAAGCATCTGACGTTTCTTTCAGCATATGGAAGAAATGGGTATCCCAGTGCATAGAGCCGATGCCAACAAAAATTTCGACTTCGTTTGCGTCGTCGTTCCATACCTCTAGTTCTAGGGGGAACTTGCTTAGAATCATCAGCACCGTGTCTGGATAGGATGGGAATAAATAAGATTTACCGACTCTGATGGTTCTGCTCCACTTTCTTCGGCCTTGGTCATCGCATTCAATAATGTCATCCTTGTTTTCGTCGTTAACAGCCAGCTGGCCCTCTTTGATGATAAACTGTACCTTCGGGCCGAACTTTATTTTGATAATAAGGTTCTTTTTCGCTCCACTCTTCTCATCCTCGTCAGATGCGAATATCGTCACTTTGTCTATGAATATCTCAATGAGGTACATTTGCTCCATGACCTGCCGAGTTCAATATTTTTGTCAGAATACTTCCTTTGTTCTTTATACTTTCTTCGGTAAAAATTTCATTAATTGCTAGGTATAACATTTAATTCTGTAACTAATGGAAAGGCAGTTGATATTTGGTGCTTATTACGTTTTGTAATGGGGTACTTTAATAGTTAACGTAATGAACTCCTAATTACAATGGGTAAAAGTAAACATTATCTAAGACTTCTCCTCTATTTATTTTAATTACCATACAATGTATGTCATAAAGAAAAGCCAAATGGTCAATAAATTAGTTCTCTTTTGAAAGAATAGAGGAGCAGTCTTAGTATAAAAAAAAAATCTGTAAAAATACTTACGGAATATTTTTATATCGGCCTCGTTTTATTTAAAGATATTCATAACTATTGACACTGATAATTTTATTTTGTAACCCGAAAGTTAGATGTTCGCCATGACCGTTTACACGACTGACATTTTCGTGTCAAGGGCCGGGTTTGATTTTGGAAGCATGGCCGACAGTTTTCTACTATTTTCTTTTTGGTGGTTTCATTCAACAAAAAAGGAAGTAACACAGTGTGAATATAGTTATTATAAAATTAGTTCCGTTTGTATCATCATCATCAGCCAAGTCATCAGACTTCAGCAACAAAACTTCCACTGCTGAACATAGGACTCGTAGGCCTCCGCTCTCCTTGGAAACTTGGAATTATTTTGATTCTATCTAAAACTAATCCAATGTTAAGTAATTTATTTTTTTAGTTATCCAAATCAGGGAAAATTTGGACGAAAGTCCTAAACTTTTTAAACCACTTTTCTTTTCCAGTGCTCCAAGTAGCAGACTTCGATAACTCCGAATTTCTAGACTTCGCCAGCCAGATGCTGTCCGACACCAGAAGCGTGCGCGGGTGTGCGCTCAGAGTGGCCTGCTGGACCGGACAGATGCCGGACAGTACTGACTTCATGAGGACATGGGACCAGGTGTTGAGGTACCTATGACTAACTTCATCATTACGGCATTAGACTCCACTACACTACAGATCTAAAATTTTCTAGAGGCAAATGGAGGATACGGTCTATAATCCGGACGATGGCCAGGCGGGTTATGAATTTTTCTGGACGAACAGCGTCCATCACCAGAATTTAGTCAAAAATTTTCACTTAACGGAAGCGCAATATGCTAGCTAATTTTATTGTACTATCACCACCGTACTCGCACGTTGTCGTCTACTTAATTATACCTCCTTACCCGAAGAAAATTATTTACAAGGATTTGACGTTTCTGTTCCAGAAACAAGCTGCTATCAACAATGGTGAACGCCACAGCAGTGCACGATGCGATGCTATCCGGCCACGCCGGTCGTGACTGCTCCTCCTACAAACCTTGTCCACTTCAGGAACACCACTTCCCCTTGTTGGTCAAACACGTCACCCGTGTGACCAGAGGGGAGCCAGAATCTTAGGAAGAACTTGAAGACTTCCTTAGTACAGTCAACAGCACATCAGGCTGTTTTTATAGAAAAATAGCACTAATAAAGACTGCATAAGATGTAACGGTGTTTAGCCTTTGTGCTGTTGTCTGTACTTCTTACAAGAAGCTGTTCACTCGTTTAGAATCGACCCTGTTTTGTTATTTATTTGTACTATGAATATTTTATTAAACGTTAAGGTTTGGTTCTCATCAGCTTCAGCAGATCTAATTTTTAATTATAGTAAATAAAACACAGTACATTATTTGCACAATTAATTTAATCACCAAGTACCCTCTGTATTTTACTATAATTGAGTTTGCGAGCGTAATCCAGCGGCGTGTAGTCCATGACATCTTTAGATTCTTTACAGTCGGCGTTGTGCACAAGGTACTGAACCACTTCTATGTTATTGCTTAGCACGGCCTGAAACAAAACAAAAAAGTATCAATCTATTTGCATAGCTGGGCACCGTTAATCAAATAGTTAACTTCGTTAATCGTTAAACCGTTAATAAAAAAATTAACTTCGCTAAACGTTAAAACGTTATATTTCGCAAGATTTAACGCAAGTTAACGTTAATCGTTAATCCGTTAACACATGATAATAAAAAGAAAAAAAATTGTATGCAAGGTTCAAATAGGTAATTTCGAAAGCTTGTATCGCGCATGGAATTTATTCCTCTTTTATGTTTGTACAATTATTTTTTTCGTTTTAGTACAACTGCATTTCAGAATAATAGCTTGTTTTTAAAATAGTTTGTCAATATTATAATTTTATTTTACACATTTTATTATTAGTATCTCAATCTCAAAGCCTTGGTTCAATTACAAGGGCCATTCTTAAATTTGTGCCAATTTTTTTTTAATTAAAGTTTTTTTTTGAAACTTTTTGCGATGTGTATCGAAAGTATAAACCAAAAGCATACTTTTGATGTATATGGACAACCTTAAAGCCCTCGGAAAGGAAACAAAATAGCCTACGTAAACACGGCTGTGACACTGCATGACACGGATGTGACAGTTTTACATTTTTGTTATAAATAATAATATTTATGTTGTTAAAGTTATATCATAATAGTTTGAATTTATTAACAATAAAATACACTAAATTCGTTTCATCAACAAAGGTGTTATTTGGTAATATGTACTTTTTTCTGAACATCCAAAAATTTAATTAAAATTGAGATCAAAAATACCGTCAGGTAGTTAATATATCTACTAGATAATAAAAAAATAGACTTTTTATTATTGGCACTATCTGATCATGCTTCCGATATGCTACCTACATGGTTTCGATATGATAATATGCTTAACAAATTAGTAAATCTTAAAAACAGTAGGTACCTAATTGAGTATCAAATGAGATTTCTGTAGGATTCACATAACAATTTATTTTGACAACTTAAACATGTTTCATAGTCACCGTACCACTAAAAATATGATTAATAGCAATTCCTTTTAAAACAACTCCGACCACCTCTGCAGGGCCTTTACCGGGAGCTGTCTCAGCAAAATTTGATATTACTGCAGAAATGAGAAAGTGCAATAATTTTTCCTTCGTGGCATCTAGAAAATCATACTAGCTAAAAATAAGTACACTTACTAAAAGGCTACTCCTAAAAATTGCACAATACACAAAATAATTTAGCAGAACAACAAAAACTATTAAAATAATAAAAATAGAATGTCACAACCACGCGTTGTAATGTCACGACCATGTACTTAAATAGTTTGCGGTAGTGACACATTTTTAATACCATGGCCGTGACAATTTGGTACGTGTCCGATATATCCAAAAAACTATCTCTGAATTAGCAGATCTTGTGCAATTATCTGAAACTATACTGCATGAGGTACATAATTATGTTTTATACAATAGCGTGACATTGATTCCTACCTTTAAAAACCGTACACGGGATGGACGTGTTATGGTTGTCCCTTTTTTCAAATAAATAGTAAATATTTTTTTGCGGCTCACTCACTACGTTCAGCCATTTGCAAATCNAGTATCGGAATATCCCTACCCACCACTGCAACTCCTGTGTAGCCAGGATCTACAGTTTGACCGCCAACAACCCAACCAGTGAAGGTCAAGTTTGTCCCGGGGGAAAGTTACTGTCATTGGACCCGCAACGAAATTAATCAGAAGAACATGAGTTCGAAGTTAAGGTTCGACTTCCTGTGTAAAGCGGATGACAGGTGACAAAACAAAGGTTTAATAACCTTGTTAAAGATGACCCACGCTGAACTGAATGACGGCTATCGTTTTTATACTTAACAGTTGGCACCCCTGGCGATTGACAGGACCTTACTCTACAGTGGCGCCATCTTGATGAGTGCAAATGCGATAGTCCTCCTACCATTTAGCGCTCACCAGTTGGTGCCACTGTCTTCGCTACTAGCAAGTGACAGGACCTTACTCTACAGTGGCGCTAACTGGTGAGCGCTAAAACTATAGCCCTCATTGTCATTGACAGGGGGGCGCTCATTCAACTATATGGTTTCCAACATAGCAAAAATCGGAACCAGCGATCCGGTATTGACGGTGGCCACGGTAATAATATCTATACAGTATTCCAACTCGGCCATATTTTTTTAATAAATGTCAACAGCCGCGCGGAACGTCACCGTATGACAAGATGCGATAGGGCTGCCCACTTGCAGGCCCTATTTTCATTACATCTGCCTACTTTGAATTTTGTGATTTTTATTTTATTTTGACAAAGTACTTTGTGAATGAAATAGGATAAAAATGCATGTTGTTTTGTGACTAGTAGATTTAATTAAAAGAATAAATAAGAAAGTCGGCCGTTTGGTGCAGTGGTTCGGAACGGACTACTATACCGGAGGTAGCGGGGTCGATTCCCGCACAGTACAAACATTTGTGTGTGAACATATTTGTTTGTATTGGACTGGGTGTTTTCTATGTATAATAAGTATGTATTTACAAAAAAAAAGTATTTAAGTACCTATGTTTAAATGTTTATATCCGTTGTCTAGTACCCATAGTACAAGCTTTGCTTAGTTTGGGACTAGAAGCGCAGTGTAAAATGTCTAAGGATATTTATTATTTTATTTAAGGATATTTAATATATTTGTGTTAAGATTTAGTAACAAATCTTATAAATTTACGACCGTAAAATTTATGCGTCTCGACTTAGGCGTATTATCGGTTATTATACAGGGTGTTTAGGTAAATGGGTTTATAAGCCGACACTAGCCCATGGTATATAAATGGTATGATGAAGTCAGAAAATTGACATCATTATTTTAATAATTTTCATTTTCATACAAATCAGATTTTATAAATTTTATTTTGTATGAAAATTGTAAAAAATAAAATTATGATATCACTGACTTCACCATACCATTTATATGCATAGGTATGTTAATATGGTCTAGTGTTGGCTTATAAACCCATTTACCTGACACCCTGTATAAATAGGTACCTACTTATAATTCTTTTATAAAAAAAAGAGCGCTTACTGTTTAAAAAACAAAACATCGTCCGATTGGACATTCGCGACACCCCCGACTTTTGCATGTCGAGCGCATACCGAGATTTAAATTTCGAAGGAAAGCTCGCGTTTCGTCCGTTTATATGAAGTTACAATACTGTATGATAATATTACCGTGCGGTGGCGCACTACTGTCAATGTCATGGATAGGACAATTCAGTATTTTGGAACTTTAAACAGTCAGTAACCTCATTTAACCTAACCTAAGCCGTGTGGTGACGGCAGAGTAGAATACATTTGTCACCAACCCCTACTCTTCCCGCGGGTGTCGTAAGAGGCGACTTAGGGACTACACATCAAACAGAGAATGGGCAGCAGCGCTCTCTGAAAAACATCAATCTTTTGAACTGCGATTTCCAACCCGCCTGCCAAGCGTGGAGATTATGGCAAAACCCTCCACTATAGTGGAGGAGGCTCATAGTCCAGCAGTGGCCTGTAAAGGGCTGTTGATGATGAACCTCATTTAAGGGAACGGCAAATCTGAAGCATAATCTGAAGTCTCGCTGACGTTAAAGTTTGACGTCTCAAAAACACCCTCCCGTGCCGCTTCCATACCTCAGGTACGGACTGAGTTAAAGTGCTAGACCTATAGTCTTAAAGTCTGATAACTAATGTCTATTTCCATCAGGGATCCAGGTCGCATAGTTACGTATTAAGATAATAGTTTCTACACGTGTAATCTTACTGGATGCGGCCTACGCCATGTTAGCATGTAAGGGATATGCCTTTATTAACAATCTACAAGATAATCATAGAATAGTTAAACCTGCCCACCTTATTCCTTGTTAAAACTAAGGCCCGGTTTCCAAAGCGGAGGAGTGTCAGAGAGACGAATTTTTCTAAAGAAAATAAAACTCATTTACTTATTTTTACCTGACTGCGCCAGAAGGAGGGTTATGTTTTTTGCAAAAAGGCTTTAAAAAGTACTTTCACACGTCCCAGTATTAACCTTACCACTGCTTCGGGACAAAATGGGCCAGTGCTGAGAAGAAGCAGTGCAAGAAACTCAGTCACTATTGTCAGCCTCCTTTTCTAGGGTTTTTACAGTCTTTATAATATACAAGTCTTAAATATTGATGCGAGCTAGGCAGTTAAACATTCCAATCATTTTTATCTTTTATAAGTAACTAATCATCAACTTTATAGTAGCAATTTTTCATTAAGTTGCTATTAGTTTTAATGTGCTTTATTATGAATGGCTCTTGTATCCGCAGTCTAAACCGTTGTCCTATTGTCGCCTCCTATTACAGACGCCTACCTATGGCTTCATTCAAACTAAGTAACTAAATAGGTGTTATATCACAAAGATTTTATTGGTTAGATAACCACTCGTAATAAGTTTACTTAGTTAAGAGACCCACCCCCACTTATCCGGTGGATGTCGTAAGCGATTAAGGGATGTCTGGACTTTTCTCCCTGTTCCTGTTTATTCATTTAGGAAAACCAGGTACTATTTATTTACCTTTACTGGAAAGGTTAACGGGAAATACTAACATTTTCCCTCAGGGCATTTTTTTAGACACCGTTTTATTTTTGTAATCGCTCATGTACATTAAACATTGTATTTTTCTTAGTTTATTTGGAACTAGCTGTGCCCGCGACTTCGTACGTATGAAAATAATTTTATTTCCCGTTTTTGAAACATTGTATTCGTCAACACAACGCAAACGGCGCATCTCCCCTTTCATAGGATTTTGAAAAAAAATAAAATAAGTGGTCCCGACAAGACAGAAATTTGGTAATGGTCCCTCGTGACTTACCCCCTTACTAATAAAACTTACACGCTCGTTGAACAGTGTTTTAAAGTGACGTTTAGTATGGAAATGTCAACTTAAAACATGGACGTGTTCAACAACTGTGCAACTTTTTATTAGTAAGGGGGTTAAAGTTTAAGGGCATTTCTACTGTACGGTGTATTTTTTCTCAATTCGGTGCTAAAATTTATATTTAGTTTTTTAAGTAGTTTCAATATAAAAAAATAAATGTTACTCCATTCTGAATGTAAAAATAGCATTGTCACTAAATATTGTGAAGTGGTTTATGAGAAATGTTAAGCATCGAATTGAGAGAGCACCGAATTGAGAAAATGAATCACGGAATTGAGAAATGAATCTCGGCCATTCTCACGATTAGGCGTTCTCAGCCTAATTACCATATCATTTTTGAAATTTGGCTTAATTGACTTAAACGCATTTAAATATGAAACACATGAAAAGTACGAATTTAACAATCCTTAAGGCGTCAAATTATTCCAAGCGGTTTTCGCGCAAATGAGACCCAAAAATTTTATAGTCACGGTAATTAGATAAGGCTAATACTTAATCTAACGGTAATTAGAAAAAAGATGTAAAAACGCAAGAAAACAACATCTTGCATTGATAAATATGTATACAAATATAAAGCGTCATAAAAACGCTGTAGGTACACTTAATAACCCTTTGAAAAAGGAAAACACTTGTTTCTATTATTTATTGTATCAAGATATTTTCAGTATACTGCAATAATCGAGGCTATAACAGGAACATTTAGTTTCGGCCAGAAGGGGCTACGTGGCACATTTTTTCATCAGAATCTTAATCATCATTTATTTGATTTTAATGTGGTACAAACGATTAAACGTACAGATAACGGATCAGGAGATCTCACAAATTTCATTTTTCTTTTTAATCTATCTGCGATCAGCCATCACCCATTATCAGATTAAATTGAATTTGTAATAATGACAGTTCCAGCTCAGCATATCCTATGATTTGTCACCTCGATTCTTTTACAATAAGTTTTCAGATTGATGCTATTCGCTTTCTCCCGAGCCTAAATGCAGAATTCTTAGAATTTAGAAGGGATGCAGCAAATAGATTGCATGAAGGTCTAGTCTTTGGTTGTAAGTTCAGCCATTTGCAAATCTAATAAGATGACAATGTTACTGTTCTAAAAAAACTTAGCAAGGGATGTCAATATCAAAGATAGTTTTTTACCGAGTTACGCATATTTAAAGTGGCGCACGTGGTTGTGACACAAAAACTGCTCACACAATGTTTGGTGTTCAAAATCAAAAATGGTAATTATTATTGATATAAATTTTTAACAGTCTTATATAACATGTATTAATCTTGCATAATTACTGTAATAGTTATCAAAATAACATAACATCTCTTCAGAAAAAAATATTGTATGTCCAAATCCGGGAATCTCACACTACACGGTCTGTGGATTTGTAACTTTTTTTAATATTCTTCTAATAGTTTTATGATAAAAATGATATTGGGCCTAGTTAATAGAGGTATTTTACTAAGTAAATTAATTTACAGTGCACTGATTTTCTTTAAAAACATATGCTATTCTTACATCTCACACAAAAATGCGTAAGAATAAGAATGGCCCACAATACAATTTAGCACCAAAGTGCTCGAAAAGACAAATCCAACAAACCCAAACTCGATAAGTTTCCACCGTTTCGTTTAGGAATTCCTATGGCCATCTCCTGACTCCATCATCAGGACCCTGGACATTATCTAGTACTAAAGTGCTCGAAAAGACAAATCCAACGAACCCAAATTCGATAATATGCGATTCTGCCGTTTCATATAGGAGTTCCTTTGGCCACCTCCTGACTCCACCATCAGACCAGCTCAATGGTTCCATAACATTGCATTGTCATCGTACTAACATAAGTATACCAAATTTCAGCTCAATCGGTTGAGGAAAACTGGTCATAAATTCAGTTGCAAGATTTGTCCCACACATACTATATAACAAGTGAAGCCAAAAATATAAAGCTTGTAAATAAATAAATAAATACAAAATATATTTTATGACTATGTATAATATTTACGTATTAAAAAAAAAGTTTATAAGTAGTATATCCGTTAAATAAATGGCTAGCTGGTGCTGTGTGAAATTGTCCAAAGACTTATTATTATTATTATTTTTTATCGTTTCGTTAGTGATCTGGTTACAAAAACTGTTGTTTTGAGTTCTGGAAGCCCGAACGTACTTGTCAGAACGCGTTTTTCAGCGTGCCTGCTGTATCTTTTTGTTAAATAGTAGGTACTGGATTAACGATTAACGGACTTAGGATTATTTAACGGAAGTTAACGAGTCCGTTAACAATTTTTAAAGTTAACTTAAAAGTTAATCCGTTAATAGAAATGTTAACTTCGTTAATTAACGATTAACGGATTAACGAGTTAATGCCCAGCTATGTCTATTTGAAAACCATAACTCAATACTTCAGTAAACAATTAGATGAGAAATAGGTGCACTAGGTTCTCTACTCTTAGCTACCAAAAATTACGATCTTTCGTTATTTTCTAATGCCCAATTTTCATCATCAATCCCTAATTTTTAAGTGACACGTTTGTAATCAAAATTCCTGTTATGTGTTCGCATATGGGTCACTTAAAAATTAGGGATTGATGCTGAAAACGGGAATTAGTGTCCTAAAATAATGACATACTACAAGTATCTATCTACTTACTTTATGTAAAGGCGTCTGCTGCATTTCATCAGCTACATTCAAGTCAGCACCAGCCATCTTCAGAAGCTGCAGTTTCTGCACCGACCCTCGCCTGGCTGCTAGTGAGATCATTTCGGAGAGCGTGTTCGTTTCCACGCTGGAGAGATTCGCCCCGCATTTGAGGAGCAGCTCGATCATGGCTGGGTCGTCTTGGTGGACTGCCATGAGAAGTGGTGGCTCACCACATCTGGACAATAAAGTATACGGTTTAATATTTACGGAAAAATGACGCCTTTAAGTAATATCTAATCTGACTGGTGCTATGGGACTATCTTCAACTCTCGTTCCTAACGCGCTGTAACTCCTGTGTAGCCAGGATCTACAGCTTGAAAAAGCCCAACCACCTGACTTCTTGCTGCTAATAGGCTTGTGGTTACGATTCATCGTTTAAACCCAAAGACGTCCACTGTTGGACAAAGGATTTTCACAACGACCGGTCCTGTGTTGCCCACATCCAGGTACCTACTTCCCGCGACCTTCACCAAATCATCAGTCCACCGAGTGGTTATGAATATTACCTTGTTTTCAAATGCACGTTAGCTCCCTGCTTCAGCATGTATTCGACTATCGAAGTGTTCCCTCTGAGTATAGCTTCGTGTAACGGAGTCTTGCCTTCGGAGTTTGGCGCGTTTACATCAGCTCCCATATCTGTGATGAAAAATTTGCGTTATTTATTTAATCCTTTGAACAAGAGTAGACAAGTTACAAAACAAAATTCATTATTTAACACTGGCGTGGCAGAGTATCTAAGTATGTTAACTTTATTTAGATTAAATACCTATATCGATAAGGAATTCTAAATCTAGACGATGTTTCACAGTCCATAGCCGATACGATAAAACAGAATAGAAAAGAAGAATTACAGAGTTGAAGTTAGATCACGGATCATTTACATAGGTACCTACATACGATACATCTACGCGACTGTTCCAAAATGTTTGGTGATTCATCTCTACATTTTTTGTGTAACCCAGAACTAGTGCACTGATATTTAGAGCATCAGCACAGGTAGAGCTAAAAATAGAACGAAAAACTGGAATTTCACAAAAAAAATCACTAAAGTGCCAATATGTGCCAATGCGTAATAACAAATTACTTAACCTCCGATATCTATACGAGTGAATCACTAGTTGATGTCAAGATGTCATCATACAACTCAACGCGGCCGACGATACCTAACTAGATGAAACAAAACAAAAGCTGATGATAGTATAGCACGAGTTTAGTTCAGGAACCAATAAGTAAATAATTAGAATATTTGTTTCAACTATGGTTTCAACTAATCAATTCAGCTGAGTAAAGCACTGAGAGTAGGTACTTAGTCCATAGAATAATAACAAATGAGCACTCGTTGTTTATCAAACAGATGATAAAAATATCGCTCTTGTATTTATCTAAGTACTTGACCCAAGAATGGCAAGGCAAGATTTACATCAAAATAAATCATCTTACTTTTTAACCGACTGCACCAGATGAAGGGTTATTATTAAGTTTTTATGGCAATGAAATAGAAACTGCTGTTTAAATAAATATACCACCAGCTGATTCCATAATTTCAAGGTAATAGGTAGATAGAAGTTAAGTCCCTAATTATATTTTTGCTGAGAAGGTAAGTAAGTAGGTATTATGAAGACAGTCAAATTATTATCGGCTTGTGAGAATTTACAAAATATATAAGTATATCCTCAATAATGTGTACTTATGCTCATTTAAGAAAAACAATTTAGTCAGATTTTATAAAATCAAAGTTTCACACGCTACCTATTATCATTATCATTCATGTTATTGATAACAATAAGTAGGTGCTGCTATTGCACTTTCCCTAAATATCAAAGGTCAAAAATGCAAGTCAAGTGGCTTCCTGATAATCAACTTTTTATCATCAGTAATCACGAACGCCTTGAACCAACACATTCTTTTAACTTACGGACGGTACAAAGTAACTACCTATTATTAATACAATTGTTTCAGCCTTGTCGATTGTTGAAAATTGACAGATATGATTGATTCAACAAACAGTTCAATAAAGTAATTGTGTCTGGAATGGAAATGTTAATGATATCTAATGTAGAGCATCATCACTATTTAGATTTTTGATTCGTCGAACCACGTTGTAAAACAAAACCTATTGAAACTTCTACACAATAGTCAAGATGCCAGTGTTTATCTTGATGACCTGCTCACGTGTCGTTGGCATTGAATTTTGTTTTCTTTTCCTAAATTATATTTAAAAACACACCCACCAAACTTTTGGCAGCGTCACACGTCTCCTAAATGTGCAAATTGCTATGCTAAGTATGGCTAAGTGTATTGGATATATTTTTGCAGAAACTGTTGGACAAAACGTCACGCAATTGCGGCCTTACCTACATACTCGTATAAACACTACGGCGTAACTATTTGCCCAACTTTCAGCAGATCTATTGCTTGCTAACAACACTTACCAAGCATCTTCTTGACGGATAACTCGTCGTGCTTCTCTATGGCGTGCAGGAGCAAAGCGCCGAACACCTTTTCCGTCACTTCTACCAGCATCTTCGGCGATTGGATATTCAGGCTGGTAGCCAATGCGTCGACGAGGGTGTGGTCCTAGAAAAAAACATATTAGTACTTACTTCAAAATCTTACATTATACTAAAGTACTTGTAGACTTTTCATAAGCAATACTGACTTGATACCATATAAGTTTGCAATAGAAGAGACACTACCTATACGAAAACAAAGACAGAATTAACTAACGAATCGAAATAGATAGAAGTCATCCCAAATGTTTTAGATTACTTTTTACTTCAACTAAAAATATTGATTATGTTAAGCTTACCTCTACAGCTATAGACGATGCTGTAGTCATTTCTCCTCTTATGTTCATGGACATCATCTGAAACAGTCGCCAGTTTCAAAAGAATCAGTAATCGAGATCCAATTTCAATAATGATACCTTATATTTTTACATGACTTTACTGTCTCCTTATCCTAGACATAAATTATTTTCTAGGTTTTTTCATGGATTTGCTATAATGTTTACATTAATTCGGGTAACTGATTAACTTACTTCAACTTTCTCCTGATAGCTCAGTTCAGACTTTGACAAGACATAAGATAGTTTGGTGAGCGCTGCTTCTGGAGTCATGTCGTAGCCTGACACCACTCCACATCTTGCTAAGAGCTGAAACGAAAACATATTATAAGGGTTCGATAAATTTTCCATCACTGTGTGGCTAGCACGAAAAACTTTCGTCTTCGAATCGTTTGCGTATTCGAAAAAATGCGATACCCAGCCAGTCTTCGAATTCAACGATAAAATGACGATCTCGACTGTCAAAATTAGTTTCGTTCTACTATTTCTCATACTGAGTTCACTTAGGTCAAGTTCACAGGGGCGCTGTTTAAGTTTTCATACTAAATTTTTTGATGGCGATTCCAATACGCAAACGATTCGAAGTCGAAATTTTTTCGTGCTAGAAGTACTGATTGGCTTTTAAATTTCGAAATGGAGTTAGATAGTTTTGAATCAAATCATACGAAAGACACAGTGTGAAAAAGATAAGTACCTACCTACCTACTCATAAGGATGAGGTGCTATTTTGCAAATTAAAGATTTATAATGTACTTATAATAATTTATTTACGGGTGATAATGTCAAGAATATCTTCTTGACTCTTTCGTACAAAATAATGACTCTACTTCCTAAAGTAGTATCGAAGATCAACTCACTCGTCCAGTCTCATATATCGGCGAGGCCACAGCGCCAGTGGAGCACTGAGTGATGTTGACAACTATCACCCCACGCTGCACCGCCTTGCAGATCTCGTCGAATATATCTTGACGATTTGATGGTATGTTCCCAGCTCCATAGCTTTCGAGAACTACACCTGTAGAGCAAATGAATAAATAAATCAGGAAAAGGGCATAAAAGAAACATATTATTATAATGAAACGACGTACGAAGAAGCAATCTTTTGTAATCCTACATAAAGGTACTTTCAAAGTTCGCATGTTACTTAGTAACTTACGATATTTTCAATTAATTCTTTATAAATATATTCTATATAAATTCTTTTCAAACTTTCACATTTGTTATTTCACTAATAGTTAATACAGTAAACTAAAGTTTGGCGGTCTTCAGTTACTAAAGCCTGGTCCGTGAGCACGTAGAATCCCGTCCAATGACCCCAAGCTACCCATCCTCGCGCGTAATTATATTGCTGTCGCGACTGTGCGACGCGCGCCCGCAGTGAGTGTGCGAGCGCGACAGCAACATAATTACGTTCGAGCGACAAGGATGGGCAGCTTGGGGTCATTGGACGGGATTCTACGTGCTCACGGACCAGGCTTTAAAACAAGATATTCGTTCGTCACGGCTGCTCGATCACTAAATTGCATGACTTATTGTATGAATTAACTTGATTTCGTACTTTTCTATTTCAATACTTACACAGTTACCACCCTTAGATGATAAATGTCTGATTGACTACTAACCTCAGCTTGGAACATTAACCAAGTCATAGACACATACAATACTAGTTCCAAGCACTTACCCTCGATGGGCGGCTGACAGAACGCCTTTATAACTGAAGAGCTGATGCTCGGGAATATCCTCAGCAGCCCCACATTCTTCGACATCTTCGCGTGCAGTCGACACTTCTCGATGACTTTCGGCTTAAATATCGCCTTCTTGTTCAGCTCGAAGTCCAGTCCCACTTCCACTAGAGGCACGCAGTTGGGAGAGTCGAAGGCGTACAGATTGTTTGCTGAGATCTTTCGAGTTCTAAAAGAAGTGGATCAGTTTTAACTTACATGTTTCCCAAACCCAATGTTGTAGGGCAAGCTGTACTTTTTTTTTTTCATTTATTTACCAAATAAAAAGAATTAATACAGACAAAATTTGCACTTATTTGGTGCCATGTATATTTGATGCCTTGTAGCTATAGGTGTTTATAGCCGTGTTTCCACCAAAGCGGAGCGGAGCAGAGAAGTGTGTTGATTAACCAATCAGATTTCATTAATTCTACATAGTTTCTCCTCTCCGCTCCGCCTTGGTGGAAACCGATCCTAAGTGCCCTAAATGAGCCTACATAAATATTTTGATTGGGAGAAGCCTATGTTCAGCAGTAGACGTCCTATGGCTGAAATGATGATGGTTACAGGGGTGGAAACTGGTGTAGAGTTTTAGACTATGAAGGATGTGTAATTCTGCACCAAAGGGGTCGTTTCAGTTATTTCTAGCGTGAAAGATTAACATTTTCTTCAGTCTCTAGGTATCTTTGGTTCTGCAATAAGTTATGGAAATAACAACAGGCTTTCAGGGGCTTTATTAGCAAGTGGTTAGAAAAGTCGTCGTGATAGATTCCATCTCAAACACACCTGTTCCCCCTGAAGAGTTTACTGCCGAAGAACAGCGTCACCTCGGGTATGTTGAGCCCTCCTGCGATCAGCAACGACGACACGAAGTTGTCGGCTCCGTCACTGCGAGGCTCGAATATCGGTATCTGGAGATATTTTGGATTGAAAGCTTCCTTTTGAATATATAAAAAGTAATAAAACTCATAAAAACACTCATAAAACTTATAGTTTATTTATGCAAGTAGGCTTTTAAAAAGACCTTGTCCTAGTATTAACCCTGCCACTGCTTCGGGACAATAAAGGCTAGTGTTGGAAAAGAAGCAAGCTCAAGAAACTCAGTCCTACAAAATATATCACTAATAATTAAAGACCAAATACTCGTGGTATGAGTAATCGAAGCAACTGAAGCTGGACGTGTATTATATCCTAGGACATTGCAATCCTATTAATTAGTTGATACTTAGGTGATTATCACACTGCACCGCGCTCCGCCGCGGTACGCGCAGCGACAGATTTAATCATTATTATGCAAGTACCTCAGTTTGTATAGAAAACACGCGCGGCACAACACAACCTGAGAACACAACACACTGAAAACGCGTTTGCGCGCGGGATTCGTTATAATATGTTGCCACGCGGACCGCGGCGGACGGAGCGCGGTGCAGTGTGATAATCGCCTTACCTACTTAATTATTTATCTATTCTGAGTTCAACTGATCTCACACGAAGTGTCCAAATATAAGAAAAATATGTCTTATCGTCTTTTGATTGTAAACAATCGATGCTTTAGTTACGAGTAAAAATAAAAACTCTGACCCAAAAACTTTTGTGGCGTCTAATTTGTTTTGCAAACATAATAAGAAAACGTTCATTGATATTTTAGCCTTCCCAGCCCATGTGGCCAGCATGGTTAGAATAAAAGCAATCAAAGCAAGGTAAATTAAAGAAAGACGCACGTACTCCTGCAATGAAGACTAAATGACCTGATGATAAAATGATGTTGAGAGATAGATACTGGTTCTTGTGAGTAGCCTCTTCTTACCTGAGATCCAGTTAATACAATGCACTTCCCGATGTTTTCAAACATGAAGGAGAGCGCCGAGGCAGTGTACGACAGAGTGTCGGTGCCGTGCAATACCACGAATCCATCGTATTGGTCGTAGTTTTTCTGAAACACACCAATCAAACACCCCTATTCAACGCTGTGCGTTCGATTTGATGCTTCACTTAAGCAAGCATCGTTTGTGAATACGGGCGTAAGGCTTGAACTACAAGCGTCTGTAATTTTAGGGATTACCAGAACTATTTCAGATGCTTGTAGCTCGATCGTTGAGCAGTCGTGTTACTTCCAGTTCTTTAGTCAACGAATCTTGGATTTTTAAGTACCTAATGCATTACACACCTAGTTTATAATTATATCACCCACATACCATAATATCTTCAGCTATTTGCACCCATTCCCTTTCAGTCATGTTGGATGAGTCCAATAGAGTTTCATATTCATAAATTTTGTAAAACACCCTCAGATCTAAATCTTTGGTTTCTGCGAAAGAATTCGTTTTGTTACTATTTATTACAAATTATAAAGACTCACACTAATAGGAGCAGCATCATCACAAACCTGGTAAGACTAAGTATGAAGTCTGAAATCCTGATTCACTGAGCCTCTGCCTCCAGTAGGCAGTGTCGTGAAGCTGAGGATACCCTCGGATGAGATTCTCAAAGGCACCGTTCTGGGGTATCAGAACTGGAAATGGTCACATCAATCAAATCTTTGGTGTTGTCTTCATCATCAGCCTTTCTAAGTCCTCTGCTGTTCATAGAGAGACCATAATAGAACCCCACAGGCTAAAAAAGGTATGTACGGATTTTAGGGTAAAATGTCCGGCCAAATTAAACACAGAGTCCGGCTTTTGTGTTTCTGGACCTGGCAACCCTACCAGGCACGACCCTGGATCATTTAATGCATGTAAATAGAACCTATTTTGTTCTGTGTGCATTGCTATGTGTGGACATCTTTAATACGTCGCTCTATATTGGATGCACATGAACACCTTTAAGTACTACGTACCTAGCTTTATACGTTTCTTTACTCGTCACGCTCTACTAACCAAGAACGTAAACTTGGTAAGAAAACAACTTGTTTGGATTTCTGGGTACCTGTCTAGTTAGTTATTGTTCTAGTTCATATTTGCCTATCCAACTGCATCAGTGACATTGATAAGGAAAATGGTATAGATGATCCTTTGTTTGTATCATGACACCCTCGCTATATTATCTCACTTATCAAGTATTTCAATAGCAAGGATTTCTTTTGCATTAAACTTAATCATCTGCATAAAATTATTGCTGTCATATTAAGTGACCTTACTGATAAGATGGACGAGAAAATCCGTATCGCAGAAAACTGCTAATAAGTCTTGTTTGAGATGGCTATTATGACCTTAATCATTCTTGTAGTTAAGTTGATTTAATATCTTTGCATGATTTATATTCGTATTAATTTAAACAAAAGTCAATATAATAAAGACATCTGTACCATATTGGATTCAAAAATTTAAAATTTTGAAAGTCTTTTCTTAAAAAATAAATCTTAAGTCGTTTGTTTTTGTTACCTCCTTCTCTATTCTTCACCATGCCTATGGTGCCGCCAGTGTAGATGACCAGTACTCTCCTCTCGTTCCTGCCGAGGCTCTTGACCGAATTAGTGCTGCTGATGGACAGTTCCATAAAACTTCTGGACTTCTTCACATTGGCCAACACCTTGGCGCTAGCTCCCGAGGAATCAGCTGACATGTGGGAGCCATTTTGATTTTTTTCCCGCCCATTTTCACTGCGTTCCGAAACACCGTTCGTACTCATCACAACTTTCTTTTAATTTTTAATTTATTAAACTTCACGTGTGTTTGTGCAAAGAAAAACGAACACTCCGTTCGACACTGAATGGCAAACTGAGGCCGACTGTTGACCTATGAAGAACGCAAGACAATTAAACGACAATCAATATCAACTCATTTTTCGTTATACATTGCTACTTTACTGCATCTTATTGAGTAAACGGTACAACTAAAACATCAATGTGTGAGTTGTACTAAAATTGTACCAAGAACCACCAACTTCCGTGATCACAACGAACTAAAAATAACGATAGCACGTGGTAATGACGTGTGATACTGACGTTTCATAATCATTAGCTAAATTATTTACTATCTACCTATAATGATATTAGGACGCGGTTTTGTGATAAACTGCGTGAGAAAATTTTAATCTAAATCGGACTGTCTTAGCGACTTAAAATTTAAGAATGATAAATCGTTCAATAAAATGTATACTTACCAAATATGTAATCATTTCACTAAGAAGATCGCGAGAAATAATTAATTACAGATCTATAGAACGTGGCCGACATTTTATTAGAACATGCTTCTAACCCATGTTTATTATTTACTGAATCCATAGCCACCTTGTTTCTAAATCTTGAATTAAGGATTAAAAAAAACATCCCGTCATGATTTGTGGGACTTTTCCTCAAGGCTTCCGTATAGGTAGGTAGGTACTGTCTCTACATAACAAGTAGGGGACTCACAAGTAAGTAAACGTAGGTTTGCCCTATCGATTTCTCGACAACAGTCCATACGTCTACATATTGCGAATACCATAACTTTCCTAGAACTGAAGGACAAGGCATGAAATAAACAACAATTGCTTTACTTGAACTTATTTAAGTTTTTTCTTAACTCCAATATCACATTAATGACAATGGTGCATCGTTTCAAAAATTCGTTAAATATTTTTATTTGCCAGGTATCACATAAACCAGTTTTGTTGATCCCGATCCCAAGAGCTAAGACCTTAGTGCTTTAAGCGCTACGAGCTTAGTGCTTTAGGTGCTACGAGCTACGTGCTACGCCGCTTATGGTCCTTTTTATACCCGAAAAAAACATGCATTCGAATTGAGAACCTCCTCCTTTTTTTGAAGTCGGTTAAAATGGCTCATCTATACTCGCCATTAGGGAGTCAAGCTATATTCCTACACTAGCGGTCGCCCGCGACTTCGTACGCGTGGATCCCGTTTTACCCCCTTAGGGTGGAGTTTCGTAAAATCCTTTCTTAGCGGATGCCTACTTCATAAAATCTACCTGCATGCCAAATTTCAGCCCGATCCGTCCAGTGGTTTGGGCTGTGCTCACCTCACTAAGTATGTCATCAAACCTACTATAAACCAAGGATGTCCCCACTACCGCTGGGTAGAGAACGTTATGAGTACAAACACGGCCAAGACATCCTCTTCGGTTATAATTCAAGAATTATTTATGTAATAATAAAAAAATATTCACTTTGATACACTCTAAGTAGGTGTTTAATTACTTTACCCATTACCAAACTCTACTATTAAAATGTATTATTAAATATTATGTTTTTTGTTGCGCCATAAAAACCAAAATGATACTTGATTTGCACAATATTTATTGTAAAACTACACATTTATCGCAAAACGGACTACTGTTTTATACCCGGCAGCGCCAAAAGATGGACTACTTATGTTTTTATAATAAAAATAGGTAAGCTTAGTTGTGTAATTTAAAATAATAGAAAAATTACGCAATAGGGCCTTAATCTTAATGACCGTTGTGGTCAACCAAAGTGATAAATATGAGCCGAATAGTAATTTGAGCCCAGTGCTCTTTTCTATTACCTGGTATCGGGTGACCCTCAGTTTTCTCCGAGCGTTCTAACCGTATACTAGTGTTTTCCAGACAGTGTTTTCGTGAAAATGGTTAGTTGAGAATTATTAAAAGTTATTTCAATAAAGCTGGAATATTATTCTTGTAATGGCTCTGGATCTCATCACTGAGCCAAAGATGCTGGTGACATAGGAATAAAATAATCTGGCTTTTTAAAACTCACGATTTATAAGGCGATTCAGAACCATTCCAGTTGAATCCAATGTTAATAATTGTTGTTTTTCTGAAACGTCTGCCAGATCACATGCTTATTCTCAAAAGACATTTAAACTCAAGAGTCAGGGAGAATTTAGATTCATACTTGTAGATTTATAATAGCCTTTAGAAGTTTTTCATTACCTATAAAATGTTCTTGCTAGGTGTTCTTCGATGTCCAAGGCATTATAGCTCCAGTCTTCACTCCCATTGACCGCGATGGGAACGTCAATTTGACCATCATACCTGGATACGCTGCTTATCTGAAGGAACACAACGTTGATGGTATACTTGGTAAGTTTTACCATAAAATGTTAAAGAGGCACATTATCAGATTAGATGATTAAAAAATTAAGAGTTACGTATAGTGATTATTTAAAATTTACCTTAATACAGACTGAATAAAAAAGCAGGAATACTTAGTCATTGGCGCTTATTAACGTAAAAAGAATCATCAACGAAGTGATCCTCATTGACACAATCCCAACTAATATTATAAATGCGAAAGTAACTCTGTCTGTCTGTCTGTCTGTTACGCTTTCCCGCTTAAACCTCGCAACCGATTTTGATGAAATTTGGCATAGATATAGTTTCAGTCCCGGGAAAGAACATAGGATAGTTTTTATCCCGGTTTTTGAAACAGGGACGCGCGCGATATAGTTTTTCTGTGACAGACTAAATTCCACGCGGGCGAAGCCGCGGGCGGAAAGCTAGTATCTATAATAATGAGGTAGCTTCTGAACAGCTGAAACAAAGTTACCGCAAACGCCTCAAGCAAGAGGCGTAACATTCTAAGGCTGGGTTGCACCATCTTACTTTAACTTTCACAAACGTCAAAAATCTGTCAAACTCCGTACAAAAAAACACCGGTTACTTATCATCAAAGTTACGGTCAAAGTTAGCTAGGTGGTACAACTCAGCTTAAATCTGCAATAGCTAGTGTACAGTTACAGAGTTTAGAACTAGAGTTAGAGAACACACTTAACATGCATGGACACTAACTGCTCCGCAAATAGTCGTGAGACTGCCTACAGATAAAACCACAATAAAACAGAAAAGAATAAAATATCCACACGTTTTTATTATATTATGTAATTTACAGTTGGTGGCACGACAGGAGAACTCGCATCACTAAACCTAGATGAGAGGAAGGAACTCCTTGGAGCTTGGATCAAGGAAACCAAGCCATTGGGGTTAAAGGTCATCGCCCAGGTCGGGGGAATGCCTCTGCCTGACGTGATAGCTATGGTAAAAGTTCCTCTAAAAACATAGAGTTCTTTAACTCAACATAAAAATGATACGTAGATACTTCAAGAAACAATATTCTTATTTTAAAGATTATCTTATCTATATATATAAAAGAAAGTCGTGTAGTTACACCACTTATAACTCAAGAACGGCTGAACCGATTTAGCTGAAAATTGTCAGGGAGGTAGTTTAGAACCAGGAGAAGGACATAGGATACTTTTTATCCCGTTCGAAATAAAAAAAAGTCTGCTTATTTATTGCCATTAAGGCGGAACAAAGTTCGCCGGGTCAGCTAGTTTATACTAAATTAATAGCTGTTAAAGGAGAATGCCCAAAAGTGGTATCGCTCGAAATCTAATTGTACATTGAGGGTACCACACCGTAAATTCCTTTCTTCATTTGTAATGATTTGCGAAAGTAGTAAGAAATTGTAAAACCTCCGGAATAAAATCCGATTTTAATAAAAAGTATTATAACAATGAGCTGCAATCAGCAACACCTATCACCGAGCAACGACACTACGTAGTTCGCACGGTTGTCAATAGATGGCGCTGTTCGTAGTTAGCTCGCGATATCATTTGATTTTTTCCTGTCCGTAAGTAGTCAGGGCTAACCACAAATCCCTTTCCCCTTGCAAAATGGCACAAATAACATTGGTATGCACGCAAGATTATTTTGTGTTTATATCTGATCCTTATCAAATAACGCTAGCTTTGGCGTAGCTAGGGTTTTTTTTAGGCAGGGTAACCATCCACAAATATAAAACAAGTATTCTAAGGTAAAACCTGTAGCTATGCCAATGGACACCATTCATTTCACTTAAACCAAAATTACGTCAAAGTCCGGAGTATTATAAAAAAAAAAATAACTGTGCCAAATAGTCCTGTATGCATACTATAAATTAAGCTTTATTCGATTAATGTACAATGAATTTGATAGCGATACCAACTCCCATAGTCACTTGGGCATTCTCCTTTGTCAGACTCCCCAACCTGTCTGGCCAGCGTGGGGAGTGTAGGCCAACTCTTCTATTTGCCTCTGGTAAATTGGGTGCTCCTGCAGTAGAGAATAAATGAACTGATGATGATGATGAAATTCGTCAGAGAAACTTATTTAACTACAGAAATGGGTATCATCTTAAAAACACTTTTTATATTAAGACTGGTGACGTTACCAGAGCTAGGAAGGACCAGAAGAAACGGATCAGATTTGTGTACTACATACTTAATTGGTATCATGGGGTCTTGACCCCAAATATCTCGAGTCATGTTCTCGTAAAAAACGATAGAAATAAGTAAAAGAATATTATTTGGTATGTTTACAAGTTTTCAAAACTCTCTTATTTTGGCACAGGCAAAATACGCTTCGGAAGTAAATGCTGACGCTATCATGAGTCTTCCAGAGCTCTACTTCAAGCCGAAGACCCCGACACAGCTAGTAGACTACCTAGAAATAGTTTCACAGGCTGCACCATCTCTACCGCTGATTTATTACCACTTCCCGATGATGAGTGGAGTTGACTGTAAGTAAATATGTTTCTAAGTAGGTACGTAAATGATGAGACAGCAAGGTCCTGGAGTGGAGACCACATACCGGAAAACGCAGCGTGGGACGTCCACCCACACCCCACAAGGTGGACCGACGACCTCATAAAGGTAGCAGGAAAGCGCTGGATGCAGGCAGCTACCATCCGGGCGGTATAGAAGTCATTGGGGGAGGCCTATGTTCAGCGCTGGGCGTCCTGTGGCTGAAATTATGATGAAACTATGTGTAAATTTATTAAAACAAAACAAAAACTTAAATTCAGCGCCTTTCAACTTGCGTTGGTAACAATTTTGTTTTCAGTAAATATGGCAGACTTCTTCAACCTTGCTTCAACCAGGATCCCAAACTTCAAAGGCATGAAAGCAGATATGGGAGTAGCTTTACAAGTAGCTAAGTTTTTCAAAGGGGATCAGAGGATTTTCATTGCAAACCATGTAAGTGGAAACGATCAGAAATTCTATTTAGAATGTCATTTGTTTACTTAAGCACCAATCACACCAACGCGTGCAGATCTCCATCGCCGGCGCGATCAAGGCGCGATCATAGGGTCATTATAGCGGCGTGAACTGTCATAGGTCGCGCGACCTGTCATTGGCCTTTGATCCCGCCGGCGATGGCGATCAGCACGCGTTGGTGTGGTTGAAGCTTTACATCATCTTTACAGCTGTATATCATCCATCAACACGCAACAGCAGCAAGCGACGTATCGTAGCGACATTTGGTTTTTATTATTTCTTCGAAATATGATGACGTATTGCTAAAGGCCTAGTGCATAACTCGAGTCAGTGCCTGAGATATGGGAGCGGCATGGGAGGGGTTTTTGTTGATGTCAAACTTCACCGAGGCTTCAGAGTTCAGATTTGTATGCTGTGTCAAATCGTTCGTTCGTTCGTTCGTTTCAGCCGAAAGACGTCCACTGCTGGACAAAGGCTCCCCCAAGGATTTCCACAAAGACCGGTCCTACGCCGCTTGCATCCAGATACATCCCGCGACCTTCACCAGATCGTCGGTCCACCTAGAGGGAGGCCTGCCCACGCTACGTCTTCCATCTCGTGGTCGCCACTCAAGAACTTTCCTGCCCCAGCGGCCATCAGCTCTTCGAGCTATGTGCCCCGCCCTGTCACATCATTATATGTCAATGCCATCCCTCCCGTGCAGCTCCCATACTTCAGGCAGGCACTGAGTTAAGTGCTAGACATAAGCAACGGAAACTTCTTCATTAGTGTTGTTCAGGCACACATACTTTCAATGAGCACGGTACGATTTCGCGGGACCTATTTAAATCTGCCGCCAACTCCGTCCCGCCAAAACTTACACGGCGAGCGCGCGTGACTACAGCAGCGCCGCGCTCCACGACGGCAAACGAACGAAAACTATGCAACACGCTCTCTCGCGTTTGGGCCGGCATCGCGAGTGCCACGCTTATTGTGTGCTCCAACGGAAATGTGAAATTTGGTGACTTTTTGGAAATGTTTTGTGTGTGAGGCCTCCACCGTACTTTGCTTGAAGTTAGTGACTCAAGTGAACCACCGAAGACACCGGGCGAAGCCCTAACCACCGGCCGGCGGCGTCCTACAGAGTACCTACCAGCAGCGCGGCAGACAAGGTACCTGTTCGATTGTTTCTGTGTTTTGTTGATTGTGTTGTGCCTGGACGACACTGGGGAACTCATATTCGGATAAGCTATCGAAGTAGTTAACAAGTGTCGCGATGACACGCCTTTTGCCTGCTGCTGCGAGGAGTCGGCTTCAAAATCATACCTTTACACTGGACATTTTAATCCCCACAGCTACTAGCTCCTTCAGTTTTCCTCGGCCACGAATCAAGCATCGCTACGGTAACTAACATCTTCCCTGACATTGTCCATGATGTGGTGGAGTCCACGAAAGCTGGTGACGTCACCAGAGCCAGGGAGGGCCAGGAGAAACTAAACAGACTTGTGGATGCCATTGCTTCTCAAGGTAAATGAGTTAAAGGTGGTCAAGTTCTCCTATTCGGAAAAACTTAAATAAGTCCTATGGACAGAAAGTAAAAAACATCTCAGTTGAATTTACCTACAATTTAAATGTTTATGAGTAAACTGATACGAGTCTAATGCCCGTTTTCACCATCAATCCTTAATTTTTAAGTGACCCATAAGGTAACACATAACAGGAATTTATTTTCATAGGGTTCACTTAAAAATTAGGGATTGATGGTGAAAATGGGCATAAAGTCTCGTCTTGTTTTTGTAAAGACTTATAAGAAATCAACCATGAAATAAGTATACGAGTATTGAAAATATATTTTCCGGTTAATTATGTATCTACACTCTTTTCAGCTCTATCTATACGTCTTTTGTGGTTTCTACTGTATGACTACTATGTAACTATATAATTAAGACGTTAAAGTTTGGCTGTCTTTTATTCTAGGAGACTTCGTGCCAAGTATGAAAGTAGCCATGGAGCTGGTGACGGGTATCAAAGTGGGGCCGCCGCGGCGACCGCTCGCTCCTATCGACGACCTGCATGTCAGACAGTTGGCAGAAAACTTGAAACACCTTGATTTGGAGATTAAGATGTGAAGGTCTAACTAGTTTATGTATGTTCAGATTAAACTGAGTCTGTCTCTGTAACCGTAAAGTATTAAATAAATCTTGTTAAACAACTTTCCTGATTTATGTGGAGTTCCTTTCCTGCCTTCTTACATAGTCATAATTTTCTCAGAAACATGGACAATATTATTTAAAACAAAGTCAGTTGATTCCCTAACATCGGCTTCTCAGGAAAAACCGTGCTCAATGTCACCTACCCTTCAAATACATACCTATCCTTAGGTAACTTATAAATACGGATGGAATAAGATGAAGTAAAGGAAAAAATTCATTCATTGATTGAAACAATAAGAATGATAACGATTTTATTTACAATAGCATAAAAAACTCTCGGTACAACTTTATGTCAAACTCAGCTTCTTCAGTTTGTTCGCAATTCGTTCCCTGGCTTCATTCGAAAGAGGCCTCTGAGGGAGAGACGGAGGGCCGACCTTGATTCCAGTTACAATTTCCATCCCAGCTTTCATAATTGGCACCCATGGACCTGAAAATTAAAACAGGAATTGCAACCAATCTACTCTACCTATTCGGAAGCAGTTGTTAATATCGTAGAAGATCTGAGCCAAATTCATGTATTTTTCTGGTATGTTACCTTCAGGGTTATTGCTTTAACGGCCAGAAGGTTTGTTGTGAAACCCCCTTGCCTTGGCTTATTACTTTGTCCCATAGTGGATTCATGACCTCGTGAAGCTTCATCTTAACTGCCACTGTATGTTCGGGGATATGTACAGTCGCGGAATGAAAAGGTTCGTCACCTTAGTGTCGGTTTTCGCTTGCACTAGGTACTGTAAGAGTCAAACCTGCCAACATTACAGTGCAAGAAACATTGCTGCTAACATTTAAATAAATATGACGTTTGCTAACGAATAAGGTTTTGCTTGTTTAGTTTTCTATCCCATCAGTGCAGTGCAATGTTACAAAATGTAGTTTTTTTTATTTAATAGATAATGGCAGGTTGAACCAGCAAGAAGGTTTTAGTTTATCAATCATAATAATCTTCTTGACAAGTTAAAACGTCAAACAACTTTGATCTGAATAATTTTAAACTTTAGTGACGAACAGTTAAAGATTATTTTCTCTAACTCGAGATTATTCTGTAACATAGTTTCAAAAGGTAATATGTGCTCGCGATTCGTTGAAGGAATCAATTTGAAAACTGACGAACCTTTTCATTCCGTGACTGTACTATCGCAACCAGGGATTCTTTTAAGGCCCCAGTAATTTTTTTTTGCTGTCGACTGGATTCATGATCTCCTAAAGCCTTATTTGCCTGCCTGGTACTCAGATAAACCAGAGATTCTTTTAAAACACTTTGACTATTTCGTTACTACTAGTTAAGAGGTAAGACAGCCAGTTCCTCTGTGATTGAGGATTCCGGGTGGAGCTCGCTTCCCTTCGGCCTGATCATCCTTTAATTCACTTACCATTAGGAGAGATACAGGCCAAGACCTTCCTCGCTGTGGTTAAAAAAACTACTACCTTACTCTCAGGAGTGCACACTCCATGTGGAAGCACATGCTTCCACAGCCCTTTCCTTGGATATTTCTTCGTCCCCGACTAAATTCACGATTCACGAAGCTTACAATTATAGTAAATCACTGCTATCTTACCTTCAGGGGTATGTGCTTCGATCGCCAGACAGAGTTTCTCCTGCAACTCCTTGGCTTTAACAACTTGGTTATTCTCAACCGCTTGGACGATTTCCTGCGCCAGACGAGGGAAGAGACTGAAAGTGGTTCCTATGCTGGATTTGATGCCGAGGAGAGCAGCGGGGGCCAGCAACTGTGAATTCGATATCGTGTTAGGGAAAACGCTTAAATTTTCATATTTGAGTTGTGTCTAGTTTTTGCTTTAACCAAACCAAATGCAGTCCACTGCTGGACAAAGGCTGCCCCTTATGGATTGCTGCGCTGTCAACATTTACGCCCGTATTCACAAACGATGCTTGTTTAAGTGAAGCAGCAAATCGAACGCACAGCGATGAATAGAATTTGTTTGTGTAATGTTTGTGAATACGGACGTGAGAATGCTTCCTGTGGATTTAACCATCTCTACTTTTAATTACCTAATAAGAAATTCTAGATGAAGGTAAATCTAGTCAGTCATTAGAAGATACGAACGAAGAATGCCAACAAAATCTGAGGCTGTTAGTTCAAGTCATTGTCACCACTGCAGATGAACACCACCTTCCCTTTTACTAGAGGCAAATGGAAGATTTAGGGTGCGCCTCACACTTCTCCTGCAGGTTATCTTGTACCTACTTTAGAGAAGTTTGCTAATTTAAGTAAGTAGGTATTTTACTTTGGTTTTCTATGAGAATGATCAATAATGAACATAGTCAAGTACTACTCACAGTGTCAGCCCCCAAGAACATCTCCTGGCCTTTCTTCAGGCTCCTCAAGACCTGAGCGGCTTCGCTCAAGTCGTTGGAAGTGAACTTGAGGCCCTTGAAGTTTGGTATGCGTTCAGTAGCCGCAGTCACGAATGCCGGCATGTTTACTGGAAAATCATAATGTTTTGTATGCATGCATCATCAGGAAATAACCCGGTAGTGATAAGGGACCACTGAGATCACCTCCACATATAGGCTATGAGACTATTCCCACCTCATTTCCTGTGTAGCCAGGATCTACAGCTTGACCTCCAATAAAAACCCACCATTGAAGGTCAAGTTTGTCCCGAGCGTACTTACATGTACAAACGTACCCTAAGCTAAGTATAGAGTCTATCTGCATAGGGCAACGGAGTCTTGTTCATGGTAAATAGAGTCAGTTTTGGTGACCTGTCCAATCTAGAACCAAGGTTTCCCATGCCAAATCCAACTGGCTTTCGTCAGATATCCACATATTGTCCTTATGGTGCGTCCACACTGGGCGCACGGGCTCGCGCGGCACGCTGGTCATCCTGCTCACCCTACTCTTGAGTGAGCAAGATGTTGAATTTGCCTTTTTGCAAGACATTGAATATTTACACAAAATTTTGGCTTCAAATACAAAATCAACAGTTGCTCTATCGAAGTTATTGTGGAAAAGCATTTGTTTGCGATTTGTTTTTGGTGAATGTTTGTTGATTTTTAGAAATAACTCATCAAAGTTTTTGCAATAATTAAAAATGTTGTTTTGTTATTGAGAACTACTTACTTTCAACCTTGCTCATGCTAGGGATGTGGTAATACAGCACAGGCAAGTTGGGCGCGGCCTTTGCCACCTGTTCCACGTAGAAGACTAACTCAGGCACGGTCTGTGGCTTGAAGTAAAGCTCTGGGAGCGTCAGGAGGGAATCCGCTCCTGCCTTCTCGCAATATTGAGCCTGAAGTGTCAGAGAAAAACTGGTTTTATTTCTAGGTAAACGAACATTTAAAGGTCGCACATTAAACATTAACATAAAGGTCGCGGAAGGCGCCTGGATGCGAGCGGCGCAGGACCGGTCTTTGTGGAAATCCTTGGGGGAGGCTTTTGTCCAGCAGTAGACGTCTTTCAGCTGAAACGAACGAAATGAACATTTCTTTCTAGTAGTATTGGGTCTGAAAGTGTCATAGAGAAAGCTGATTTTACTTTTATGTAGGTAAACGAACATTTATTTTTAGCAGTATTGTGCCTAAAAGTTACATTGAGAAAACGCTTTTGACTTAAGAAGATTTTTACCACAACACGGAAGCTCTTGGCCTGCATCTCACCTGATGGAAAGTGATGATCAGACCGAAGGTGAAAGCGGTTTTATGTGGCATTACTTGCTATGTATTATTAAACATTTCAGTCAGTGCTATCTGTTTAAGACTAAATTTCGGAGATTCCTATCAGTTAAAACATACTTATGAAAGTAGTACTTAGGTTAATAAATAAGTTAAATAGCTCGAGGGATTCCTGAACATCAATTCTAGTGCATTGTATCCATTGATGGCGCATTGCGCATCCACACATGCTGCCGGCTTATGCCGCCGTGTTTGCCGCCGGCTTTCAGTCTGCATTGCCAATAAAAGATGCACGACCCAGGCCCCTCTTTCCCACTGGGCACTTTGGGCACGTGCCCAGGGCCCCGCGACCGAGGGGGCCCCCCATCTGCTAATAAGACCTATCCAGATCCAGAATCCTTAAATGCCCAGGGCCCCTAGTCAAAATCAAAAATCAAAATTGCCCGGCATGTGTGGATGGGCCATGACACTCCTGTTCCTTCCTACTTCCATGCTATAGGTATACGAGTATTTCTGTTATAAAAGCCTACTGCTTGGCTGATAGCCTGATTGAAATCGCATACCACTGTTGCGGGTACAAAACTGTAATCATAGGAATTTCCAACATTATCCTTATCTTCACAAGAGTCACAGCGACTTCTGATAAGTGCAATGACTTCAGTCATCTCCATCACAATACGCGATTGTATTGGTGTTATCATCGACTATTATGTAATATCAAAACAGATTTTATCTCGTGTGTTATTTAAGCACGATAACGCCGGCATTGATAAAAAATGTTTTTAACTCATAGAATTCTTGTTGATTCGCATAAATAAGTAGGTTTCATATTTTGGAGTCCATATTTTACCTACACGTTAGAGCACGCAAACGTAATTTACATACTAATAATTTGAATAAATAATTAACTAATCTTGCTTTATCAATCTTACTTTTGAATTCTCGCTAAATTGAGGCGTATTATAATGGTTTTTAGGGTTCCGTAGCCAAATGGCAAAAAACGGAACCCTTATTTAAATATTCATTTGGTAAACCCAATCTGATCAGGTTCCTGAAGTATCGAAATGAAATCGAACCTGGGACCTCTAGGTCTGAGACAAGTGATCTGATCACAAAACCACAGAGGCAGTGTAACATGGTACATTCATGTGGAATTAAAATCTCCTTACCAGATCTAAAACATCAGCCAGCGGCGCTCCGCCCACTTGCACCATAACGTGGAGCCCGTTGGTCCTTCCAGCGGTCACCCACGCGTCGACCAGCTTCTTCCTTTCCGCCACACTGAGGGACATATTCTCTCCTGTAGTGCCCCCCACTGTAAGTAGAATGTTTGACTGTTCTCTTTTAAATTAACACCTTTGTATCCCTATTTATCAGGATTTGCTATGTTATCATTATGTCATTAAGTCATTAGGTCTCTGCTGCAGGAGCTTTCTAATTTACTTCTTGATCAATATACTAGAGGCAAATGGATTAAGGCAGAGTTGCACTATTTCACTTTAACCGTAACTATAACGATTACCGGTGTATTTTGTATGGAGTTTAACAGACTTTTGACGTTTGTTAAAGTTAAAGTAGATGGTGAAACCCAGCCTTAATCTACACACTCCCCACGATCTTCGGTGGGTTGAGTAAGCTAGCTTGATGTTCGGATTTTTAACCCTAATTCCTTTTACGACGTCCGCGTCCACGGGAAGACAAGCAATCTAATTCATATGCATGCTATTTTACTTGACCATTTAGTACTTTACATCGATATCGAGCCGCAGATATTGATTATAAATACCTAGGTACGCAATTATTTTATAAAAAAAAATGAAATTTTACCCAGCACAGATTTGATGCCATTTTCTGCTAAGTATTTAGCATACGCTGGAATGGCCCCATAGTTGACGGTGAGATCGTCATTCAGAGGCGTAAATACTGGGGGCATAAGCCCGCTTGCTGTAAAAACTACCTGCAATAATAAAAATTAACGATTTATTGATGGTGTTTGTTGTGAAAGTGTCCATAAAACGATACATTTGAAAATATATCGTTTTACTTATTTTACTTCGTCGAACCCATAATCAAAAGGTCAATAGGGCAAACTCTTAAAGTAAACAAAGTTACAAATAACAAAATTATTATTATTCCGTACGCTGCGGTAATTGTAAACATTGTAGGTACCTATTCTGTTTAAACACACGTCATACATATTATTGACTTTACAGTACAGTTTACTCAATTTACTATTTGCTCATGATATTGATAACTCACCATGTTGGATTTGAAAGAAGAAAGATCGCCTCGCAACACGTTTGTAACACTACTAAACCGATTTCATTTAGTACGTACGTAGCTCCAGTACGCTCACACCTAAACAACAATCGTACCAACGACACCAACGTTATCAGTTCATTATTACTTGCCTACTTACATTATAATCATTAAATAAACCTACCTACATAATTTTTTTAATGACAAGAATTTTATGTAATCAATCTTACATAAACTGCAAAAAAATATAAAAAAATGTTATTTGTGCAATAATGATAAAGTAAAATTGAAAGTAAACTGTAAAATTATTTTCATATCAAAACTAAAAAAAAACTTTTTAAAGCTTCCCGCCATTTTTATAGAGATGTCAAATCAATCATAGTGTTGTCATAATTGCGGTAATCGAATAATTTTTAACTGAGCTCGCTTGGGTCATAATCTTTAATGCTTCGCTAAAAGGAAAATTATATGCATCACTAATGTCAAAATAGAACGTCATGCGCGTGTTGCGCGTGTTATTTTTCTTCCTTTCATTCGGTCTAATCGCTTTTTCATTACTGTAAAATTATTAATTTATTTTATTTTATTTAGAACTTAGTGTATCCTACTTATACAAAATGAATCCTATTTCAAGTGAGTTGAGTATGAACGATTTAAACTGTAAATTCTTCGAAATAATGCAAGATGAAGGTGCGGCTGAAGAGGCAACAAATTTTATTTACGAGAGTCTTTTGGATGATGTTACCGTGGGGTTTTTGTTTGAGTTCCACCACGGGCTGAAAACGGGTCTGACGGAATTACTTGAAGGCGAAAAAGAAGATGAGGAAGGGTTCAAGATAGTGAATTCTCCAGAATGCGATGTATTTGGATTTTCCATTTTGAAGAAGACGCCGGATAGTAACTGTTCATGTCCTAACTGCGAGCGTCCGGTTTCAGCCACGCGATTCGCACCACATTTAGAGAAATGCATGGGTATGTCTTTGTCTTTTCTAAATCAGCTGATCAGTATGTTTAGATTTAGGTAGGTACAAAATGGTGGCCATGATATCAGCTGTTGTTACTGATAAAAAAATATTTGTGTTTATGTCATTCTAAGCTAAACCTGAACCTAGTGCATAACAAAGAAAAAGACCATTCAAAAGTGTTAGTAGATGCATTCTTAATTAATCACTATACTAAAACATAAGTTAGTTATCATAGTAATTGTATTGAAATGTATTCTGTGGTTGTGCCTTTAAGTCCTACTAATATTATAAATGCGAAAGTTTGTATGGATGTCTGGATGTGAACATGTTTGTTACTCTTTCATAGTATAAGATCCCGCTATACAACGACCTTCATCGAGATGCTTATTTGATGAAACATATTTTATATTCAATTTAACATGTCAATAATTATATTGCTTAAGGGTTGCCTAATAAATTTCAGTCCAGGATATGATTAATTAATAATTAAAAAAAGATTTTTTTTTTAATATTTCATCGGTTTGACTATTAAACAAACTCCATACCAATCGAAAGTATGAAGCCCATAGAATATGCAAACGTTAGGTTGCCTATTCTTTTCCAGTCATAACTCTCGGGTTGCCAGGTATAAACAGGTAAATTGATAGAGCATTTTGCATCGGTCTGATAATTTAATCAAATTTAAATGAAAATAAAGATTATTTCTTTATGAACACGATGGTATAGGGTTGCCTGCGAAAAATCAGTCCTGAATGACGGTTGTCGAATTTTGTAAAGTGAAATTAAAACTGAAAGGTAACATTTTTCGAGTAACTGGCAATATTTGGGAAAGACGAGTTGTATGAGGCGTTTGTGTGTCTTGTCAAGAGGTGTCGCTTGGGTGAAGAAATTTCTCCAGTGTTGCCATGCTTTGGGAGATTTGTTCCAAAAATGTCGAAAGTGGAAATAACGACTTCCGGTCAAAAATTTGGATGACGCCTCCTGCAAAAGGGTCGTACAAATGACATTTGACCATTTTCATCTCGATCACCTGGCAACACTGGCAGCTACGGGGAAAAGTATTTTTTTTCGACATGGGTGTCTTTAAAGTTAAGGACGGACAGAAGGAGATATGGCAGAAAAAATCCAAAAATGGGGTTTGGTCGGTTATACGACCCAAATTATGGGAAAAATCCGAAAATTCAGAAAATCAAGATGGCGACCGAGTGAGCGGTCATTTTGTAAAAAGTTTCAGATTTCTGATGTTTCAAACCCCATTTTTGGATTTTTTCTGCCATATCTCCTTCTGTCCGTCCTTAACTTTAAAGACACCCATGTCGAACAAAAATACTTTTCCCCGTAGCTGCCAGTGTTGCCAGGTGATCGAGATGAAAATGGTCAAATGTCATTTGTACGACCCTTTTGCAGGAGGCGTCATCCAAATTTTTGACCGGAAGTGGTTATTTCCACTTTCGACATTTCTGGACCAAATCTCCCAAAGCATGGCAACACTGGAGAAATTTCTTCACCCAAGCGACACCTCTTGACAAGACACACAAACGCCTCATACAACTCGTCTTTCCCAAATGTTGCCAACTACTCGAAAAATGTTACCTATCAGTTTTAATTTCACTTTACAAAATTCGACAACCGTCATTCAGGACTGATTTTTCGCAGGCAACCCTATACCACCGTGTTCATAATGAAATAATCTTTATTTTCATTTAAATTTGATTAAATTATCAGACCGATGCAAAATGCTCTATCAATTTACCTGTTTATACCTGGCAACCCGAGAGTTATGACTGGAAAAGAATAGGCAACCTAACGTTTGCATATTCTATGGGCTTCATACTTTCGATTGGTATGGAGTTTGTTTAATAGTCAAACCGATGAAATATTAAAAAAAAAAATCTTTTTTAAAAGATTAATTAATCATATCCTGGACTGAAATTTATTAGGCAACCCTTGAGCAATATAATTATTGACATGTTAAATTGAATATAAAATATGTTTCATCAAATAAGCATCTCGGTGAAGGTCGTTGTATAGCGGGATCTTAGACTATCACACAAAAACTACTCAACGGATTTTGATGAAACTTTACAGTATTATTGTTTATAACTCAGAATAACAGGCTGTAATTTATGACGATCTGTGACAAACAAAATTTTACGCGGGTGAAGCCGCAGGCAAAAGGTAGAAAATAAATAAATATTTATAAACTTTATGTTTCGAGCTAGACCGAACTCTGCTTCAAACGAAACCAGGAACTAATACAACCAATGCAACTCATCACACCGGAAACGAAAATTTAACTACAGTAAACGACAACAACATCTTATACGACAAAAACTCTCTCCCAATACGGCTGGTCACCGTGGGGGAAGTAGACCACCACCCTCCATCAAAATGATGGAGGAGGCTTTTACCCAAGTGGGGCCACAATCAAGAGAAATAATTAATTTTAAATAAAACTGTAATAACTGTGGATTTATAAAGCTGTAATAATAAAAATAATAATGTACCAGGAATGGGGCGTAACAGCTCCCGTATCGCGTCGCGCCGCATCGCTTCAAACAGCCGCGAGCCGACCTCGTACGCTGGGCTTCTGAGCGACGATGAGGACGACGCGGACTGGGCTGGCGGCTCCATCCAGAACGAGAGGCGCAAGCGCAGGATCAAAAACAACAATAGGAAGCCGAAACTTCATAAGTATGTATCTGAATAGTTTAGTATTAGTGATTTTTAGGGATATACAGTTCATACGACCACTGACTTAATCTCTTAGCCCAAAATTATTCACTTTTATCTGAATGTTGTGGTTTTAGACATACTTTGGTTATCCATTGCAATAGTCTGGTCTGTGAGCACGTAGAATTTTGTCCAATGACCCCAAGCTACCCATCCTTATCGCTCGCGCGTAATGATATTGCTGTCGCGACTTTGCGACGGGCGCCCGCAGTGAGTGTGCGAGCGCGACAGCAACATAATTACGCGCGAGCGATAAGGATGGGTAGCTTGGGGTCATTGGACAAAATTCTACGTGCTCACAGACCGGGCTTTACAACTGGATGCTCACTAAATTTTCATGTAAAAAATGTAGGTTTTCAGGCATAATGTAGCAGAACTTGGAACTAAAGTTTATAAACTCATCTTTTACTCAATCTCTTTAAATCCGAAGAGTTATTGTAAAAGTATCGAAGTGACACATCATGGTATGTGCAGAGCTGGAACTGTCATTATTAATCTGATAAAGGCTGATGGCTGATCGCAGATAGAATAAAAGAGAAAAAATAAAATCCTTATCCACTTTTGGATAGAGTTTATAAGACTCATCTTGTACCAATAACAATAACACCTTTTGTAAACATTATGGAAGCAATAAACTATTGAGTATTGAGTACCATGTTCGTTCAATATTATGTTGTTTGTTCGTTCTTCTTTTAACATTGTCTCATCAATACCTTTGTTTTATTTTAATTCTCAGAATATGTTACAGCATTTAATTAATTCTTGGCTGCGATAACTTGGCATTCCAGTGGCAACAGCCGAAACAACAACGGGAACGCGACCGCCGACGGGAACGACGGCGGCGCCACCTACGAGACGATGACGGCCAACGAGAAGAAGAATCTTCTCCTTCAGATTTGTGGAGTGGTTTCTGAGCACACTAAGAAATTGTGCACGAGGTAAAGTTACAATTTACATTTACTTTTTATTTAACCGTTATTGAATGTCTTACAGTAGAAAAGTTAAACGCACGCAATTTCATCTTCTCTCTTTTATTATCATTTTATTTACTTGGGATAAAGTCCAAATCTGCATCGTTTGAGAGTTGAAACATGGTAACATTATTTCTGTGTTTATTTTGTTTTTGTTCAGGCTCATCTTAGATTATAGGGTTATAGATGAAGCTTTCGAAATGGCATATCGTGAAATGCCAGCATGATTGTATTTATAAAACAAGAACAAAATTCTTGCAAAACAAGAAGCCAGACTGTTCCCAATCTGCAACTCCTGTGTATGATCTATAACCTGTTGGAAAGTTAGAAACTTTTTGGTTATACGCAAGAATTTAATAATTTGAATTTGGCACTCCGCTGTCAATGTAAGGCTTCCAGATCTCTGGATCGATCACTCGATCTCATGTAATCTCTGTGTGCTGTATGTTCTAAAATAAATCCGTGGTAATCTTCGTGGTCTTTTCCTTCTTACGCTCCAACTCCAACATGGTAGCACTACACAAAGCCACTCCGAGCTCTGAGGGTTTATAATAAATGTGTCTATCCAGGTCCACCCGCTGCCCGCAACACACAGAGGAGCAGCGGCGCGCGCTCCGCAACGCAGTATTAGAACCATCCACGCCGGAGTCGGCGAGCATGGGCGCGGCGGCCGACGAGGCGGGCTCGCCGCCCGACTCCAGCCCCTCGTCCTCTTGCTCGTCGTCCAGCCGCAAGCGCGACCGCCACCGCGCGCCGCCCAAGGTGAGCCGGGTCAGTGGGGCACAGTGAGCCGGGTCAGTGGGGCACAGTGAGCCGGGTCAGTGGGGCACAGTGAGCCAGCAGGACGAGGCGGGCTCGCCGCCCGACTCCAGCCCCTCGTCCTCTTGCTCGTCGTCCAGCCGCAAGCGCGACCGCCACCGCGCGCCGCCCAAGGTGAGCCGGGTCAGTGGGGCACAGTGAGCCGGGTCAGTGGGGCACAGTGAGCCGGGTCAGTGGGGCACAGTGAGCCGGGTCAGTGGGGCACAGTGAGCCGGGTCAGTGGGGCACAGTGAGCCAGCAGGGCGCGGCGGCCGACGAGGCGGGCTCGCCGCCTGACTCCAGCCCCTCGTCCTCCTGCTCGTCGTCCAGCCGCAAGCGCAACCGCCACCGCGCGCCGCCCAAGGTGAGCCGGGTCAGTGGGGCACAGTGAGCCGGGTCAGTGGGGCACAGTGAGCCGGGTCAGTGGGGCACAGTGAGCCAGCAGGACGAGGCGGGCTCGCCGCCCGACTCCAGCCCCTCGTCCTCTTGCTCGTCGTCCAGCCGCAAGCGCGACCGCCACCGCGCGCCGCCCAAGGTGAGCCGGGTCAGTGGGGCACAGTCAGGGCCGGACCGTAAGTTTAGGGGGCCCTGGGCTATACTACTTATGCCCGTTTTCACCATCATTCCCTAATTTTTAAGTGATCCCTATGACAACAAAATTCATTTTGTGTTACCATAGGGGTCACTTAAAAATTAGGGATTGATGGTGAAAACTGGCATTAGAAGCCCCACCTAATTACTCAAAGTATAGAAAAAAATGAGACCGTAAAATATTTTTTTGACTTGAATTGACTTAGCTGGGGCCCTTGAATCCACAGGGCCCTGGGCTGAAGCCCAAAAGTCATAATGGTAGATCCGGCAGTGGACAGTGAGGCAAGTGCGTTACTCTTTGAGTCCATTGGGGCAACTGCATCTCTCATGGGTCCACAGGAGCTACTGAAACTAACAGATCCGCTTTGACTCCCACTTACATTGCAAACTGGGGCAACTCCGTCTCATGGATCCACAGGAGCAACTGCGTCTCTAACAGTTCCACTGCAACTCCCAGCAATCTTGCCGCAAAACTCGGGACAATTACGTCTGAGTGAGACCACTGGGCCTCTAGAGCAGCGGTTCCCGAATGGTGGTCCGCGGAACCCTGGGGTTCCGTGGAAAGGCCGCAAGGGTTCCGTAAAAAATATTATCCCACGTTTCGTGACCGACGTTGTTCGCTCGCACCGACTTGTTTACGCACAAGGGAGGGGCAGGGCGTGCGGGCGGAGTATACGGGGGTTCCGCTAGGAAAAGTATAATCAATTATTAGGGTTCCTTGGCAAAAAAAATTGGGAAACCCTGCTCTAGAGGGAACTTCATATCTTAGTCCACTGCGACTGCCTTCGGATACCTGCAAATCTTTCAAAGCAACAAGTCTCTCATGGATGCACTAAGACAATTGGGACTTTTAGGACTACAGTGTATCATACTCGTAGATCTACTGCGACTCCCTTAGGGTAAATTCAAATCTCCCAGGATTACTACCTCTCATGACTCTACTGAGACTTTGTTTTATCCAACTGGGGTCCTGAAGCAAATGTTTCTCTCATAATAAATTCCGAAATATACTTTCTCTGAAGTTTTATAAATAAAAAAATATTTTGTTTCCCAGATCAACAAGAGGAACAAGGAACCAGCCAACAGAGACTAAGGAGGCAGAAACAACCGAATGGACTATAGTGGTGGGGATTGGAAAAAACGTTAAGTACTGTAATGAACTATTTCTATTCTGAAAGGTTCATATTATTAGCATCTAGTAGCCCCATTTTGACCATCTCGAGCGAGAAGCCAGCTCTAATACAGTGAGTGTTTTTTTCCAGACGATATTGAGAACAGGAAAGGCCATAAAACTACCAATCCAATTTGTTAATTGTTTTATATTAGTCTTATTTACATAATACATACACTAAGATATCATTTTTACGCAAAAATAAAACATTCAGTCTAAAGTTTGTCTGATTAGATAGTGTTTTTCCACCGAAGTTGTATAAGAAATTTGGGGTATATTTACTTAAATGATTGCTCTGGAAAATTACATTCACGAGATATCTCTCTTACGTACAAATTACGTAAGCCGGTGGCACGACATATTTTAATCTCTGGCACTATAGTGAACGCCATTCAAATAATGACTTGTATTTAAGGAATCGTGATATTTTGTAGTTAGATATTCTTTGAATACGCCAAATTGTATCAAATTAAAAAATATTTTGGAAGGGAAATATTTTTTCTGCTTTGAAGAATGTCAGTCATCATAACGGCGCGCTTTTATTGACGTTGGAAAATTTTAGCCACCTGCCGAATGTAACTGCTTGGTCATTAATGTGTGTATTATGTATGTTATATGTTATTGTATTAGGTATTGTGGTAATAGTACAATTTATATTTCATTATTGTCAGACCGAGTCGCAAGTTCTTTTTTGCTGCTGTGTGTGTAACGTTTTTAATTTTTAGCTAACATTTAAAAGATCTTGATACTGCCAGTATAATTTCCCACCGCTAGTGTATAGTTAAATCACATGAAGCAGGTGACTAAATTTGACCTTTATAAATCGAGCCTTAGCACAGGCGTCAGAAGTTTTGTTAGCATCTTATTTGTAATTTTTGAATGTCCTACGCTTCAGTTTCGTTCTGAAGTGACTGTCACTTTAATGGATCGTCCGTCACTATAATGGATGAAGTTCTGAAAGTTGAAAGATGGTTTAATAATATCAATGTTGTATCATATTCCTTTATGTTTAATAAACTACTTAATTCTCGACAACTGCATTAGAGCAGATTTTCATAGAATAGAAATAAATGTGTCAGCCATCTTCATTTTCGGAACTTAAAAGAATTCATATTTTTTATTAGGTTAGCATTAGATATTAAGAAACATTACCAAGAATAAGTTTATTTTTACGCGATCTCAAACAAATGATTTATAGTTAGTAATTCATGTTTATAAAGACAGAGATATTCGTATGATTGTTCTATAAAAATATTGAGTAATTATTGACTGAATTGTAGTGGTATGAGATATGATAAATGAAATAAATATAAGTATACGACATGAAGTTTGTTTTTTATTTTACTTCCAAGTTCCTGGATAATATAATAATAATATGCAATCGCACATAAGCAATTAAAATAAAACCACAACATAAAAGAATAAACCATCATTTATTGGCATATAGTAACTGGATTGAAATATTTACATTAATATAATATAGATATCACAAAACACACCTCACAGAACTTGCAAAAGCGAAACAACGTTACAACTAATACGCACGAACTACCTACAATATTCCTCGAAAGATCTTTGGAATGAGACTTGCGTCTTTAAACAGTTTTAAGTTCGTCAAAATTAACATACACTCGTCCATTGTAAATTATTAAAAAGCAAACATGTAGTTCAAAAGGCGTTAGTAAAAATGATTTGTCAAAACAACGTAGGAGTTTGTGCAAAAGGTGTTTCTATTTAGTTAAATGTAAAATAGGTAAGTACAGTCAAACTAGCCAAGTAATGGGGATCTATACCTATTCTCTTTCAATCGAACAGAAGAAAGAGAAAACTTATAATAATACTAGATAACAGACAGACCAAGATCTTAGAGCCAGTGGATTTTTAGGAAACCAAATCAATTACCAATAGAAATCTTGTAAACTTTGGCGAATTTACGTTTTCCCAGAAGTTCCCGTGGCTTTAAAATGTCGGTTGACACTGTCATAAACGCGATTATTCCAAATCTACAAGATTTAAGCAATGAATTCCTTTATCTCGTAGAACTAAGTAAGGTCGCGTTTATGTAAAACTATTAAACTTCAGAACTGTGGCCCGCCACTGTGTCAATTTGGCATAAAGTAATGATTTACTAGTAACTTGTCCTGTACTGAGGTTACGTGGTCCAATTTTCTACGATAAATCTAAGACCAAAACTAAAATTATGAAATCAAGTCCGAATAAAACCATAAATCATCACAGTATGCGCATAGACACGTAACATTTATTTTTTATTTTTCCACATCAAAATGCAACTACCTCTCCTAAATTTGCCTCTTACAGCAAAACATATCTTTGCATAGAAGTAGCTATATAACATTGACGTCAACATTTAATACTATAAATAGTATATTCGAAATTAAATCTTCCAAAATTGGTGTTATCAGTGGTCAGTGTTATATCTATTTATTGCTGGCGTATTATATCACTTGGCAATACAAATCCAACGTAGCCTTTTGTATGTTCGGCGAAACATTTCCAGAAACTCTGCGAATATATTCCTCAGTTTATAGTTTGTGCAATTCGAACTACCTACAATGACGTAGATATACACAAAAGATAATTTTAACGAATCCTTGTTTTTACTATTGAATGTATATCCATATTGTCAGTTCGGATTACACGCTCTATACTGAAGGCAACTTTCAATACTAGAGGCTTTAATAATAATTAACAGTTTATAGTTTTTTAACCTACGCATCGGCCGTGTTATACAATATTTGTACTAAGCACCAACTAACAAACAATGAGTTTAACATCCAGGCACCCTTGTATTGTAATTTATTCTCTTTAGTCTATTGAGTCAGTGCAAATATAATGTAAATAGTAGATTAAACTTGTACACTGAGTTGGTACACAAATAATGTCATAGATACTAGCAAAAAATATCAAACAATAGGACAATATAAATTGATTAGATTAAAAAAATTAGTAAAACGATTAAAGTTTACCATCCAAACATCAAACAACTTGGTTTGAAATAATTGACAATGAAAAAGATTAAATACTGATGTCATTTACTTTAAAAATCGCATTAGATTTTATAGACTATTTCACCATAAAGTAAGCACCGGTTATCTATGATATTGCTTAAGAGTAGATGAAGATACAAAATCTAGTAAATGAACAGAACAACCTAGTATTGACATAACTTGACTGGGTGTAAAGAAATACCGCTGGTATAGATTCGATATTGAAGTAGAAACTTGCAAAGCCGTTTTCGAATCGTCTTAAAAGTCGAAACGGCATTTTCCCATTTCTATTTAGCATTCTTACAAATCACTATTGAAGATATATCGATTAAGACTGGTCTTAGCTGACCTAGTATAGTATCAACATATCAACAGTATGTTTTTAAACGTAACTTGTCATAATTTCAAAAACAAATGACATAATTATGATTTATTGGTGCAACAACAGTATCAGGCACACTTATTAAATTTTATCTTCAAAAATAAATTCAAAAACCCATCCGAATGAGGGAACTAAAATTCGGACTATACACAGCTACCAATAGGAAACGTTGTTATAATTAAATAGGACGACCAAATCAATCGATTTTGGCTCAAATTCTTTACGAAAAGTTCTTGAATGACACGAATCGACTCCCTGGGTGTATTTCTATCGACATCTCGTACAAACCGGGTATTTCCCTACGACAGCGCGTGAGCGGCGTACGCGCAGCAAGTTATTCCGCGCTGATAATGCTGTCACGGCCGGGGCCCACGCCGATGTATTGTACTGGAACGAAAATTATTATTCCATTAATAAACTTATCCACAACGGGGGAGTTAACACTACTACTAGGTATAGCAGGAACCACAGGGAGGGAATTTTATGACGTACAAATTGTCAGTAGGTCGGAGTAGATGACAAGAGTGGAACGCAAAAACAAAAACATCTGTAATCTAGTTTGTAAATAAGTTACTGATGGCCGTTTAACAACTGCTAATGGACCGACGATCTGGTGAAGGTTTCGGGAACCACCTGGATACGGTCTTGTGGAAATCCTTGGGGAGGTATCTGTCCAGTGTGCTTAGTGCGAGTTTGCATTGAATCCGCGTCGTTGTTCGCGAGTGCGTAAAAATCTATGATCATTTTAGTTGAACAGTCTGTCATAAGAGTTCATGTAATTTTTTTCGCAGTCGCTAGCGATCACGTTTGGTGTAAACTCGCACTTAGCACACAGCAGTGGGTGTTCTTTGATTGATGATGATCATGAAATAAGTAACTAATGTGCTGCTATAATTTAGGTTTTCTCCAGCTACCCACCAGGTATCTGCAGGAAGTTCTCGATGGCCTTCACGTAGGCGCACGCGGCTTCGGGCAGCCGGTCCATCTGCCGCACCTCCTCTATGCTGCACGCCCAGCCCGGCATCGTTACGTACTCCACCTGGCAATGACAGTTAGAGTAGACCGTTGATTTTTCGTCGGCCGATAGTTTAGTCGGGCAGTTGATCAGTATGGGTGTCGCAGGCAAATTGTATGATTCCGCATTTTACAAACGGCGTCGTCAGTTTACAAACGCTCGCTGTTCTATGAAATGCCGAAGGCAAATTGGCGACTCGTTCAATTGATAAAATTTCGACTATGATTGTTGCAATAGGGTGACCATCATAAAACACATGTTGGACAAATCAGACTTAATTTCAGAAATCAGGTAGGTATCTATTCAGGTAAGACAAACCTAAGATACTTGCTACTCCTAAAGTAATTAAAATATTTTCGTAATAAAAACAACACTAAACTAAATTAAACTATTGACGTACGTACCTATAGGTAAAACTATGACATACAATAAGTTTCGATAGTCAGTCCTTTAATTCTTACATTTTAATTATACCTAGAAGAAGTCTAGAAGACAACACAATATTTTTTTAAACCAATAATATTCCGCAGCAGTCCACCACCAGTCCGAGCACCAGATTCCATTGTCACCTTAGCGTTTTTTACGTGCCGGATAACCTCAAAAACTATTTCATTTTTCCATAGCTTTTTCACTGCTCCTATTTATGAATCGTAAAATATTTTTAATTCACTAAGTATAATCAATGTCTTTTTATGTGAAAAGTCCTTTGAATACGTAGAATTTGCACTGTTTTCTGTATCACAACACCACGACTCGACGCCATTTTTCTTGTTTTGATTAGCAGCGCCTCGCGTGGTAAGAAAAAGAACTAAATACTTTAATTTGCCGCGGCATTTTGTAAACGGCAATTGAATTGGCTATCAAATGTTTTTTTCATATTATAAAGTGCCCAGGCAATTTACATTTTGCCTTCGGCATTTCATAGAGCAGCGAGCGTTTGTGAACTGACGACGCCGTTTGTAAAATGCGGAATCATACAATTTGCCTGCGACATGGGCATAGTTATTTATTTTTTAGCGTTAAGAGTCGCATCTCAAACTAATTTGAAAATTATAAATAACTTGAAAATATCGAACTGCCTAAGGCGGGAATTGAACCCACGACCTTCCGCTTGCCGGGCGACTGCTCTTCCTGTTAGGCAGTTCGATTTTTCAAGTTATTTATAATTTTCAAATCAGTATGGGCATGTATGGGAGTGCGCACACTACGCCGATTCGATTTGGCCGATTCCTCATACAATTTAAAATCGGGCACAACTATCGGCCAACTAAAAATCAACAGTGTGCGCCTACTCTAAATCTAATGTGAGAGTTATTAAGACACAATAAAGTTATTTTATTATTTATTAGTTAATCTAATGCTTGTCGGCCGTTTGGTGTAGTGCTTCGAAACGGACTACTATTCCGGAGGTTGCGGGTTCGATTCCCGCACAGTACAAACATTTGTGTGCATGAACATATTTGTTTGTATTGGAAACGAGTTATTCCGATGTCACACAACTGATGAAGGTAATGGAAATACACCCTGGGAATGAAGTTTTATTCAGGTGATGCCTGGGAACGTACAGCGTTGTTCTGTTACAGCTGGGAACGCTTAGCGTTGTTTATTACACTTGGGAACTTAATATTAGAGCTCTTTCAAATATGTAACATGTTTTTAGCTGCAGTCATTCGATTGCAGGACCGCACGCGGTAATTTGTGTGACTACTGCATTGAAATAAAAATGACAACATTTAGTGTGCGGCCTTGCAAACAAACGACTGACGTTCTTGCTCGTCTAATTTGAAAGAGCTCTTATA